ATTAATACTCGTTAATGAACGTCTTTTATGCCCGGATTGTGAAAAATCAGAGAACGCACAAAGTACTTCACGATTTTCCGAGCACCTGCGGTTTACATTAACCATTGTTGAAACGTGAGTGCTTATTATTTTACGCCCTACTTACTTACGTCCCAATTTTGACAAAACACACTGACTATCTCCGGATAAATGACAAAAGCATTTTCTCACGAAGCGCCACGACCTTACTGCTTTTTGTGGAATTATATCCATTAATCTTCCAATTTGTTCAAAGTAATTGTGCTCGACCACTTTATTTTCGAATTAACACAGATTGAGATCTAGACGATCGGTCACGACGAAATCTACGCGACAAGAAAAATTCGGGATTGTGTAGGCGAACACAGTTTGGAGTCTTCTAAATCGGGCAATTAACACAGCACGGAGCCCAATTAAAAACGATACACGACACGAAGTATAGAGGGTTGCATGATTCGACGCCCTCGGTCACACATTTTTGACTAACAGTAAGAATTAGAAACAAAAAAAAAAGCAACAAAAGTTATCTTCTTTGTTCGCACGTTATAAAATAGCCAAAAGTAATTGCTTTAATTAATGTAGGTACGTTAACCGTTAGTTACTTTATACTTCAAGCATTATTGTGAAACTGTAAACTGGGCTTTCTGTAATTTATCACGTGCAATCTTCGGTGTGCCGCCTACTCAAAAACTAGACTGCGCTATAATTGTGCCGTCTTTCGCAAAAACTCATCATTACTAGTGGGTCTCGTGTCAAGTGGATAACTGGTCTCCGTGACGTGTAAGCGCCATGTGTCATGTTCAAACTGATGTTTTGTAACGAAGTGCAAAAATTCTTCTAGTGTATATCTTGAAAACGACGTTACCGTAGAAAAACTAGCCATGCATAATCTTGCATGTCGATGTTAATTCTCCTTTGTTTGAGTGTTAATAAGCAGGCAGCAGTTGGTAACTGCTCGTTAAACATTACCTGGAGGCAGTGGAAGGAAGAAGCACCCAATATTTGTCTACTGAAGAATGCAACAATTTCCTTGCGAAACTTGAGATATCGAGTGGCGCCTGTACTTCTTTTAGCTTTATTAACGAAGCAAGTGCGTCTAGAGTGATTATCGAACGATGAACTATAATAGAATTTATGTCTGTCATAACATTTAATATGCGAATGGGGAAATGAGTTCTGGAATGATTACAACAGAATGCGGATGCCCGCGATAAATAATTTTCACTTTCAATTATAATTTTTTTATTATTTTCATCGCCAACCTAACAAACAAAAAAATGAGTGTTCATGCCCCTTAATTGCGCTAAGCCTGAAATAATATCATGCTTCTATACCCGTTTTAAAGCGTGACACATGACTATCAATACGCCATGCTAATTGAATTACTAATATAATAGTTACACGGGCGAGTGTTACAAAAAAGAACTGTTCGGCCCATCGCAAATTAATTTCAGCACAAAGCACGAAACTCATTTTGTAACCCAGGCACGAATCGTCTTGTTCGCACCTTGTTACACTACTAAAAATAAATCGTGCAATTAACCTTGCAACTTGCAGAAAAACTGTGCTAAAACAATTAACCACATACGCTGAAAACTCATGTAATCGAGCAAACATCCGTCGCGCTCGCTTGGCAAATTACTCGCTCCAGGAATTTGACAAGTAGCACTAGCGAAAGTGTCACACCAAAACCAGCAGTTTTTCGAAAAGTCGCTGCAAACACAGAAAAGGGACGAACGGAGTACCTTGCGGAACGCCTTCGGGTTAATACACGCTAAATGACAAAAAACCAAAAAACCCATCACCTTTACTGAATTGCATTATTATCTAGTGAAAAAAGCGCTATTTGCATAGGCCAGCCAAGCGTCGAAAAAATTAATTGAAAAATGCAATTTACTTATATTTACCGGAACAAATCGTGGCTTTATTAATTACAAAACGTAAAAAGTGTAATCAAATTGACAATTCGAAGAGGATTCAATCCGTTGGAGTGTACGCTCGACGACGAGGAAAATGAAATTTTCTTTGTTTAAAGTACCACTTTTGCTTTGACACGGTTCATATAGACGATCGACTTCCTGGTATTAATATACACTCACGTAACTATCTATGCCATTCTTCCTAAAAAAAAACAAACGGTTGGTTTTCCATGCGGTTTGCTATGTAGATCTGGGAAATAAGCACAAATTGATTGTTTGTTGGTAATACATACCCATAAGAACCAAAATATCCAAAGCGAAGGTTTTTGAACTTGAACTTGGTAGTGCACAAGTGTAATGGTGCGGAAAGATCTTCTACCAATGTCGTTTATTATCATTACAGATTATGCACCATCTTCAATAATTTCTTTTCCCGATAGAATTCAATCTTATGCACCGATGATTGCGTTTGTTTCTTTTCTTGTTTTTCTTCTAAAGGTTTTTTCTCGTTAACCAGTTTATAAACGCTCATGTTTCGATTTTAACGCATCACAAGCGTCCAACGTATAATTCCACGTAATCAGCCCTAATTAATAGTACCACCGGATATTATCGCTGTATCGCGCTGCATTAAGAAGAAAAAGATACCACTGATGATCCTGAAGCCACATTTACACGAAAAATGTAATTACGCCTGTTTAGAATAGCGAAGGATTTATGGCGGTACCACCTTTCTGCATTTTTCCCAACCGTAATCGTTCATAATCCTTCATAATTTCACACTTGTCCACAATTTATTTATGACTACAATAAGATATCTCCTAATGACTTTCTAGCAAACGCATACTTTTGTTTTATTGCTTATGTTTTCAACGCTGTGGGCTACTATGCATTTATACATAGATAATTCTACTTAGCACGCACTTTAATTCCAAATCACTAACAAGTAAATCAAAGAAATATGTCTTTGGACAGTTCGTCGTTATTCATTGACTTTAATGTGTACTTTGGATGACTATTATGGCGCGATAATCGCTGCTGGAGCAACAATAGAATCCAAAGAATTAGCTTTAAATCTGGATTCAAACTGAACGTCTTTGTGCAGCCGAAGGCGGTACTTTTTCGTCAGAGGATTCGAGAGCAAGTTACACTTATCATTTGGTGATGGATAACTCAGGAAGAGAATCAAAAATGACAGATCGTCCAACGAATCTAATTTGGAAGTCCTTTATATTCACTCCTATTATTATTAATGATGATTGACAGCTTCCGATGATTGATTTGGAGATGTAAGAAGTTTTTTTCACGACTCGCGAATGTCTCAATTATCTTTAAACAATCTTACTGACAGAAAAAGAACGGAAGTGATCTGCGTCCCGCGGTAGATTCTTTACAAATCTTAAAAATGTGTAACGTAAACGCGTTATCTCACTTTCATTCACGACAGCCGACTTAGATAAGTTCTAAATGGCAAGAGCAGTTAGAATAAAACAAAACTGAAACGAAACTGCTTTGTCACGTGACTACAATTAGAACAAAACGTACCAAATAATCAGTCGTGCGGTACCTTATTATTTAATCGAAATTTTGGCTAAAACAAATCGGGGATGCGTCAGATTCGACCTGATTATTGACAATTTAACAAACACAATGGAGTCTCGAGCACGACGAGCAAATCACTTAATTATACGGATTCGTGTACGTCGTGACATTTTCCTTTCTTCTCGACGCGTTCGTTTCGTCTTTTAGGCAGGGTGGTACCACCCAGAAGACGATCGAAGTTTTATCGCACTCGTGCGAAAAGGGTGCATTAATACGTCAGGTGCAGTTATCGTAGCGTGATAATCTCAAAGATGAGATTATAAAATCAAGAAGTGCGTCTGGTGCGACTTCCGGACCTGCTAATTGAAGTGTGTAATTAGAATTTGCATAGCCTACCATGATGCATATCAAAGCATAATGGCAACGGCATGCAGCGTCCGTCGTGGTTGATCTGACTTGGGTCATTGAGCTGCATCGGTACTAATCTTGAAGCGACCGAACAAATTTATCGCATGTAAGCATCACAATTTTGTCAGATTTCCATTTTTCGCCGTTTAACAACTAGACAACATGATGAATATGTATGTCCACACATGTGGGTACTACTTCCTCGTCTTCATCCTATATTTAATGTAGTACAACCGACCGTTCCAAGATTGCGGATTTGCTTTGCCATTTTTACACAAAACTAATTGATTTGCTGAATAAGGAAGATATACTCACCGGTGTTAACCTACGCCCACAGTCGTGCCTAATCAAGGAACCACTCTGTTGTAACCTCCCGACGTAATTAGTTTTTGATTTTGGAAATTTTTGTGAATGGTGCTCGAGATAACGGGGCTTTTTTATGCAAAACCGTTGCTAATTCAAGCTTATCAAATTGTTCGGCTACTGGCTTCTATTTTTCGCAAGGTTATTGTCGTACGAATCAAAGGAATTAGACAAGCATTGAAAGTGAAGACGGATTTTGAACATCGGATTTGCTATATCATTTCGCATTATAGAGGTCCCGTACGTCCATACCGTAAGGAAAATAATGCGAAACCACATAATCGATGTTTCCATTAAAATTCGCACGAAAAGACCTCGGCCGCAATTTGACAGTACTAAAACTCGAAGGTGGTACCTGAGTTATGGCTAGAGAAACCGCGATAATGAAAACATCAACGGTGATTTTTTGTCGCCAAAAACGTCTAAATGCACTTCCCACACTATAGCGTTCTCAAATTAGTACCGAAAGACCACCACTCGAATTTCCGGTCGAAGCGGTAGCATAAACTTAAATACAACAATTCGAACTTGGCATTTTTCGACCAGACACTAATTAACACGAACAACAAAAAAATTATAAATCCGTAAGCCCGGTAAATTTTAAACATTTAAACCCGTTACGTGTGTCAAGTACCTGATTAAATTTTTTTGCGCTAGATACAAGCAATTAAGGGCTATTTACATCGACCGTTTGAAACTTAATTGAACCAGTTTTTCATTTCGTTGAGAAAATGCATATATCACACTAACCTGGCTGATGTTCGAGGCTATCTTAACTTGTGGCTTTTCCCTCTTGCTCAAGTAGAACTCGTGTGTCCTTTGATTCTCCCTTGGCTCCTCCGTAGTGACCGTCACTTCGTGGGTCGTGGTCTCCATGAAAGTACTAGTCTCTGTGGCGAAGCTCGACGTCGAAAAAATTCGTTTCGTGGTGAGCGTCCCGTTGATCTTCCTCGTCGTCGTCAAGGGCACCATTGTCGTCTTCGCCGTGGTGACCTCCACGGTGGTACCTTTCGCCTTCGTCGGTCGTTTCGCCGGCAGAGTGGTTTTCGGCAACCCCCTCGTGGTAAGGTTCAGAGTGGTAGGCGCGACGGTCGTCACTTTGTCACTCCCAGTCTTCCCCTGGCGCAGCCAGGACGAAAGGAACTCCTGAGGGTACTTCCAAAATTGCGACTCGACTTGCACTGCGCACAGAATAGCGACGAATATGAAAACGCGCATTTTGAAAATTTTCGGAACTGCAGACCAAAGCTTGTATTATTTCCGCGGCTCCGTCAATTTCTTGAGATTGTTCGCGGACGCGTCCTTGGGTGGTACTAAGCCGGTGGTACTTGCGGAGGCTTGTGAAGGTCTGTGCCGCGGAAGAAGCTTCATGCACTATGTACGCGATGCAAGCGGTTTACCAACAGCTAACCCACTTCCTAACCAATGATACCGTACTCAAAGCGTCCAATTTACTCCCTCCGGTACTGTTCTTGCGCCGAATTCCTGCAGAAGCGCCGGGGCCAACCTTTGCCGAAACGGCTTCACTCTTGCCGAAAAAGCGAGGGCAGTACCGAAAGTACTAACGGTACCGTTAGCGATCGCCGGGGTGTTTAGTATTTTAAAGATTTTTTGAGCCGGGTTTGCGAAGTACTTTCCCAGTTTGTGTCGGTCTTGCTTTCCAAACTGTTTCCTTTTTTGCTATCGTATTGAGCGTTGAAATAATCTCGTCAAAAGCAAAACGCCTAGTGACAGCGATCCGCTATTTGTGGTTAGATACTTCCGAGTAATTTCGTCAATTTTGTTTTAATATTTTGTCATTTTTGCGAGTCCGTTACTCCTAACCTTAACAAATATGCCGGAATTTGTCGCACCGTACTGTACAGTTACAGTTTAAACGTGCCTACTAATTTACGGAAAGTACTCGGAAATAAATCTCGCTTAATTAAAATATTTTTTACGTTTTACAGCGACGATTGTCTTCTCAGTCACAGACATTATCAAATTTAATTTAGCTACTTTTTAACGGAGAATGAGTTGAAATCATGGGAAATTTTTGCTTCAAGTGTCATTACCATTTTTGTAACCTAAATTTTATCGCAGATGTTATTGTTTGATGCACGGAGGTGATTATTATTCTCTTCATTATTAAATGTTACAATAATGCAAGCACCATGGGCTTTGTGCTTCTATAAAAAAATCTTATTATCTCTCACAATAAGTGCGGTCACTTTGACTATTCGCGATGTGAATAAATAAATAAAAACTAATTGTCTGACATAATTTTAACTTCATTAAAAACTTACAATGAATCTTAAGTCTTGTTCTCCTTTTTGAAAATTTAGATTGTACATCAATTAGGGCTAGCTGAAATTTAAAATTTTACGCACGCATTGAGGACGCTTGACATTTAAAGCATTTAATGACTTCTCAAAATTTTAATCACATTTATGGCAAATACAATAACACTCAGAATCGAAATGAAAGGAGATCCGTAAAATGTGTAATAAAACAAGTGAAAGACTTCGTGTAGTTCGCGTTTGATCGCGTAAAACTCCATCCAATCAAATGATTTTTGCAAATTGTGTGATAAAATGAAACTGGAGAAGATGTGACATTCACAATATTTATATATTGAAATTGTTTTTATTTACTGTTATTGGTAAAAACACGCAGAATTTGTCATAAAAATTAAAACTAATTACAAAACAGATATACTCAGAACGTTATTTCTGTATCGACTAAAATTTTACTTCTCGAGACTGAGATAAAGTAGTATTGCGATAAAGCCATCCGATTTCTCAGAATTAAGATTCCATCATTATTTTTGTTGTATCTCTTCAAATGAGCAAAAACGCAGATTCATCTGTCCCCATTTATTTTTTGGTTTTATTAAAATACGTCCGAATCGACCGAGTGAATTTCGACCCATTTATCACGATTTTCTAAATTTAACTAAACCCATTTTCCTGTAGATTTTGGGGCGCAGAAATCACTTACAGCCTCATTTTTTCGTTAACTCCAATCGTTTTTCCAGAAACGCCCATTGAAATTTCGAAATTTTTAGAAATTATCGAAAATTCGCATTTCATGCCGATTCTTTCGAAAATGTTGATCCGTGACCTTCAATATGCTATATTTTTAGAATCAGCATGTCGAGATCTACGTCCCTGAATTTTTTCAGAATTTTTAGAAAACATTTGTAACAGTCAAATTTTTCCTTCTTCAAATTTCGACTAATATTTGACATTTTCGAATCTTAACTAAATACATTTTCTTGTAGATTTCGAGCTCTACAACTCAAGTGCGGCTTCGATTCTTTGATAACTGCAACCGTTTTTCCAGAATTGTCTGTTGAAATATCGTAATTTTTAGAAATTTTCAAAAATTCGCATTTCGTACCGATTCTTTCGAAAATGTTGCTCCGTGATCATCAACACCGTACACTTTTGGAATCAGCATGTCGAGATCTACGTCCCTGAATTTTTTTAGAATTTTTAGATAACTTTTTTAAAAGTGAAATATTTCCGATGGTCCCTTCTTCAAATTTCGGTCCATTTTCGAAACTTAACTACATATATACATATTTTTGTAGATTTCAGGCCGCAGATGTCACTTCCGGCCTCATTTCTTCTATAACTCCAACCGTTTTTCCAGAATCACCCTTTGAAATATCGCAATTTTTAAAAATTTCAAAAAAATCCGAATTTCACACCGAATATGTCGAAAATATTGCTTCGTTACCATAAACACGCTATATTTTTGGAATTAGCATAGCACATAAAAATAATTACGATTCTGCCATTATTTTTGCAGTACCTCTTCAAATAATGGAATAAACGCAAATTCACCTCTTATATCGTGGTTGGCATTATCCATCTTTTTTTTTTCTTAGAGAAAATTAAAATTCTGAAAATCAAATCTTATTATTTTTCGAGAAAGTGAATATATTGTATATAAAATAACCTTCGATCAATTTTTTCGACATCGAACTGTCAATACAAGTTTCCAAGAAAGTGGAAATAGTTTATTTCAGTCATTATGACGTTGATGAGATTTGACGTATTAGGTAAAGAGTAATAAATAACTTCTAAAAGGATAATCAAAAATTGTAATAAACCTGTTTTTTTATAATTTAAACAAGTTGGCTTAATTGTCTTGATTTATTTCTAGATACGGCCTTACGATCTACCCGCATAAAGAAAACCAAGACAGGTGGTATATGCGAAAAAAACTTGCACATTTACCTCAATGACTTCTCCAATTAACCATCTTACTTTCTGTTTATATTATCTCTAATGATTCTGCCGTAATTGTCATGCAATTTTGCTTTTGTGTTATTTGTGTTTCCACCATTTGCGATTAATGTGTTGATATGATTGACACATTTAATTTAACAATTCCTGTCGTTCCGAGGATTACGGTACACCGACGGCTTAATTATCGACAGTTGGATTTTTGTCAACTTTCAACGAGACGAGAGTAATTGCTGGCATTTTTACCTTTCCATATTTTAGAATAGTAGAAAGAAGTTTTATATGGTGAAAATACAGTTAAGGTCAACCTTATATTTTCTAAACGTGCAGCTCTTTGTGGTGATAAGTGAACAATGCCACGACCAACCAATTAGGAAGACTGCCGACGTCGAAGTCCCAATCACATTCTGCCTCGGTTTATATTTGTTGTTTTAGCTTGGAACCGATTAAACCGTTTGTAGTTCGACCGAGCCAACATATTATTACGGGAAAGGCATAATAGTCGCGTCGTGTGCGCATATATGAGAACCGTTCCAACAAAACGTGAAAGTAGAGGGCCGAAAGTAACGCCCTGCGTAACTGCTACTGGATTTTTCGGCCGGCTCCGCCGCAATTAGCGAGTCATTAGCGAGTTCGATTCGTGCGAGATGCAGATGCAGATTGTGCATTAAGAGCAAGCAGATAAATTCAGCACTTGGTCGAGCGGTTTAATCGCGTAGGCCAAATGTCGAATCCTGAACAACATTGACCCACATCGCGTCGAACGCGAAGTTTTCACTTTTCCGGCGGGAAAATCTTCAAAGAACAAAGCTAATTCGAGGAGATAAAGAATTAATCGCGCTTGTCACGACCGAAATTACATCGTTCACGACGATCGCCGTTTCTAGGCCGAATTCGATCGGCGATCGTGATTTTTGTGAAATTTCAACAACGGCCATAAATCTTCATCTATGAAGTTATTTTAACAATTAACGCCTCGGTTGTATTTCAACAATCAAATTCTTTGATTATATCTTGTATGATTCGACGTATGGGTATATTTTTTTCCCTTTTCTGAGTGCTGTAGCCTGCACGCGAACAAAGATTTTCTACCTTGAGGTGGCAATTTTAGTACTCGTACTATTCGTAGTGGAAACGAATTACCTTTTTCTCGAAGAAATTAATGTTTCCTCGTTGCATTGAATGAATCTAAAGACAATAATCGTAATTTAATTTAACCCGTTTGTTACGGATGTAACAATTTTAACACGGAAGCTCGGAGGATCAATAAATCTGGGACGTCCTTAACGTCGTCTCAAATTTGCATCGCAGCGAAATTTCTTGATTTAATTGAATCGCGATAATTACGGATTATCAGGTTACTACCGCCTCACAGCTGTATTCAAATAAGACGATTTATAATCTTATTTTCAGTTTCAAGAAATTATTGTTCCACTTTGTACATTTACACTTTGTTTACAAAAGGATTTGCTACATAAATGGAGGTAACCTAGATTTGACGGGCCAATAAAACAAAGCTTGCAATTCAACAACATCGCCATTTATAACTGTACACAAATTTGCAAACAAAAACAAATTCACAAAATTTTACACACCTGACGAGCAGTTATAATTCGCTTTTAAAACGACTACTGTCTAAACACCAAACGTCCACAATTAGTAGATAGTGAAAACGCTAATAATAAAGTCGGTTACATAATAAGGCAAAATTATTTAATAAGCGAACCCACATTTAGATTCATACCGACAAAAAATTCATTCACTGCATTTCTGATCATGCCACTCCTGCACGACAACACTCCATGATGAAACCTTTATTAAATTAAACAAAACTCAAATTTGTTTAAATGAACTGTGTATGTCGTAAAAAATCATCACGAGCGAAGCGAGCTATTTTTCTTTTGCAAGTGAAATAAAATCACATTTTGATCATAGCTACTCTTCCAGAAGTTAAAATAACCATTAAAATCCCATTAGCGGCTGTAGTCTATCCGGAACTCTCAGCTTCCAATTGGGTTAATAAACGTCTGTTCTCTCGGTCAGTTTTGAAAAAATTTACTTTATTACCCAATAACTTTAACGATTCGAACCGGAAAGACCGACGCGCTACTTAAATGTGTAGGCGACAGAGAAATACGATATCTTAGCACAATTTTCTACCTGCAAAATTACTGTTAGAAATTTTACTTTTCTCTAGCAAATATAAGCACCCTAAGAAATTAGAGCTAGGAGCAATAATCAAGTCAGATGCGAGGAGTTAAAACTACGACAAAACATTTTATGTCTGTGAAGATAATAGAGTACTAATCGTCTTGACGTCTATTAAATTGCATTTAACCTTCTACGTCTCCGATAACTGGACATTTATTGCGAGCTTCGTCACAAACATAATAAAATAACGGAATGAGAAATGTCTCTATAATACGCGATTTCGTATTGTCCGGTGACACCATCTGGACACCCTGTATCGCTTCTGGGAACCGCAGCGCATCTCTCCGGGCCTGTTCTTGTTCGCCGGGCCGCAGTGCTCCTCGCAGGGCCTATTTCTGTCCGTATCTTTTTTCTCTTTCACAGTTCTGCACCGTTGCGAAATCGATTTCGTCGATTGTGACCCAAAATCGGGCGAAAATTCCCCGCGAAAGTGCGAATTGTGAATTCGTCAGAGCGGTTGTCGCAAAAAAGCGATTTCAGGTGGCCCTACATAATCGCACGCTTAGCGTTTAGGAACGAAGCCTAACTGTATCCGTGAAAAAACTAACTCAATTTCTGGACGTTTTGCTGAATGCTGGAGGTAATTTACCAGGACAATACTTAAATACGAATTCTCTTCCTATAAATTTAAATACCGTTCACGGTAATTTACGAAGATCGTGGGAAATAAATTTCGATCTATACTTGGAGCCTTTAAGATTAGTTTGATCTCTTACTTAGAACCCTGCATCCAATTGTTTTAGTGATTAATGGTAATAGTTACGCAAACCGAAACGGTACTGCCGATTACAGGAATTATAACCTACCATTTGTTGGGTATTCATCTGGGTTTCTAGATCGAGATTTAATGCGATATGGAGATCCATTATTGCCGTTTGAGTCGCGCTGCACTCACGTATTACATTAACTTCCTTCCACGCAAAAAGGGTTTTGAAGTACTAGGTACCACCTATTGTCAAAAATTGTTTTATTTTTGCGCAATATTAAATTAGCAGCTGCGCATAGTTACATGCTGTAATATTAATAAAACTTTTTAAACGTTTCAACAACCGTTTTTTACGACAAAGCCGTAAATAGTGTGGTTTCAGCGACCACAGCAATGTTTGAATGTTTCGTCCAAAAAACAACTGAACTGGAAAATCCAACTCGACAGAATGATTACAATTAAAAAGCTCGCCTGTATTTTCTGTCCGTTTCATTCCTAATTACGGTCATACGAGCTATAATTTTTTGCAATTAGTTTAAAAAGTCTTTATTCTCTAAAAGCTTTATGTGTCAACTGAACAGGATTCCTTCGTAATGACCACATTTAGCACCCAGTTCCAACAGAAATGTCATAAATTACAACGATAACGAGTTTAATCAGAATTTTGTCCAAACGGGACGGTGAAATTACACACCGAAAGTACTATCTGATTAGTTTAATAACAGATTTGACGCAAAAACACTCGTTTATTTTCCGCGGTTTTATTAGCAGTAAATGTTTAATGCGTAAACCATTTTTTAGTTGACCCACAAGTACCCACTTAAAATCGTTCAATACAAGCTGCCAACTGCTGCCATAAAGAATGCGTAAATCGAGAAGACTCGGGTGGAGAGAAATGTGCTCTGCGGACGCCAAATTACGGTCAAAATTATACCTGAGATTTATGCAACCCGCAAAACTTAGACTCGTAAAATGTGTTGCATATCCACTATATTTTAACTTCATATTGTGCTTCGTTTTTCACTTACAAGTATTTTTTAGCACGGGATTTTTCAGAGGAAAGTCAAAATGTTTATAAAAATAACATACTTTTATATACGTTTGTACACTGATACATATTAAAAAAATAACATAAAATTGTACAAAAACTGCAAATCAAAGAGGCACTCGACTTACCTATTTATAATATAATTTACGTTTCAAACGTCGCTTAATACTCTAAAATATACAATGTCTTTACAAATGGCGGCTCTTGTCCTATATATAACGGCTTCAATAAAATAATTATTTACATAATGATCTGTCTAGCAAAAAACGCGCCAAAAAAATATTTCAACGGAGTTAAACGGTACATAACGACATCTCACGACAACGTACTAAGATGGCAAGCAATAACCACTGTATGTTTTAATAGCTTCCTCTGTATAGCTTTTGCCCGCGATTACGCCATAGTCCATATGGTGGTGCGGACATCGATGCGCGTGAGGACATTGGCACAAACTGTTCACATTCACTTCGTCCAAAAATTCTTGACGTTTGCGTACGGTAAACAAGCGGCAAGGTTCCTTACGCTGACAGCGAAGTCTCTGAAAAAACCCACATAGTACATGTGTCTAGGACGCCTCAAGTCACTTACGGCTTGCGGTGAACACGAAAAGTAATACTGAAACGCCACCTGGCCATTCGGCAAATGGACAGCTTGACGTTTTGTCAAGTACGTCATGGAGTTCTTCGGACAGTGACATTGAACGATCTGTTCCGTCACGTTGTTCGCGAACAAGGTAATCGTCCAAGTGGTGTCTCTGAAGAATCTGAAACACAAAACTGTCAGTGGACTCGCTGCGCTCTCTCAGAGAGTGCGAAGATTGTTCGAAAAAGCGCTGACCCACTATTAGTGAACTACACGTGCTGCGACTGCTTCTGTGCACGTACTATTACAATAACATTAATCTATAGTGAAACATCTTAAAGCGGATGCCCTTAGGCTTAGGAAATCGAAAAAGTTCCGTTAGTAAGAACTGTGCACTTGTGAGAATTCTGAATAAGTTATTGTACTTTAATGGACGACAAAGATATTTGTACGCACTATTTTAACCCTTTCTTTTCTCGGAAGGAGTACATCAATTTATAATTAGAGTAAAAAATCAAAGTTTTTTTAGTCCAGGATATAAGGCATACCTCATTAGATTCTTCACTTGAGCGTAATTTCGAATTTATTCATAACTATGAACAAAAACAATTCATTAAAGAAATCAAGTGCGTCATTTCGTTACGAAGTTGATGTCGTTTCCGCTAAAACTGGAAGCTATTAAGCATAAATAGATCGCATAAAATCATCTTTTGAAGAAGGTGTGCGAAAATTTAGAGACATAGTTTTGAAATCGAAACAGAACAAGCTATCGATGCAACAAAATCGTGACTAACTTAATGAAGATAATTAATTTTGCCACACCTATAAAGGAAACAGACATGAATGAAATGTGCTCTCGCAACTTGTTCTAGGCTGGATAGAAGAGAGCAATTTTCATTCATCCGGAGATTAGCCCAATTATCTAAAAATTTTATCATTTTGGTCGGTTATGCAACCAAACACGCTTCTTACAAGAGACCTAGTTGCATAAAATTGTAACGAATTAAATTACCCTTGGACCCAACAGTGGCAACTTTGGCAATAAACAAGCTTTCACAAACATGGACACCAGGGGCGGCTCATGACTTGAAAAATTGATGAGGCACAGCACAAAACGCTCTAAAATATAAATAAATCAAGTTTACTTAAATATTTTCTATTTAGTCAAATAAACAAATTTGTAAACTCATTTAACTGTCCACAAAGAACCAAGGTGAAGGTGTAAGGAGGTCTTGCAAGGAAAGGATGAGAATGACAGGACAAAAGGAAAGGGAAGCGTGGTCAGAAAAAACTAATATAACTTCTAACAAAAAACAAAATTAAAATAAACTTTAAAGGAAACATATCGAAAAAGATCAAATACAACATAAAATAAAGCTAATTTGATTTATAACAAAAAACAAAATGAAAAAAATATAAAATATAAATACGGATTTATTTTAAATTTTTTTTTATGGATCAATTAACGATTTACTCAAATCAGGAACCGGCGGTTTTAATTCCTTAACTACATACAATTTATCATCATACGTGAAAGTAGAAAAAACAGAACTGCCATTGTCATTTAACGTTAGTAGAGAAAAATTCCGATTTACTCGTAATCTTAAATAACGATTACCGAAATCAAATTATGACAAGCACAAAGCACTAACGCGACCCACGCAAACGTAGGCACTTTTAAGACAAAATTCTGTTACCGAAATTTTGAATCAATTTATACACACACAGATTTGTGGCAAAACAATCAACGGCCTAATTTTGAATACTCCTGCGAATGCAGACTGCATTGCAATCGCACGTTCCCCGCGCGCAAATAATATAGTTGTCCATCTCTTTTGCAAGCACGGAAATGAGGCTAGCCTCAATTTTGTCTTTTTTCAACTCATACCGCTTATAAGTGTATTGCAGGTTGCTTGCCTATTAACGACATGATTTCTATATAATATGCTGTAGAGGCAAGCTTCGAGTCGGCCTCATTCGCGTCACAAAATACATGTTGTGCCGAGTGTTTAAGCGCGCTGTTTAATTAAGGGAGCAACGAGTACCTACCGAGATAAAAATAAGAATATAATTTTCTATATTTATTTTTAAAATTTTAGAAAAAAGACACAAATTATTGGCCGAAATGTGTCCGTATAAAATAATAAAAATCCTAATAAGGCGTAAAATTCATTGGTGAGGCACTGCCTCACCTGCCTCATAGGACAAGCCGCCCCTGATGGACACGTCCACACTCCAGCTCGAACGCGTCCGGAGCTCCGTTCGCACCGCTGCCTTGAACCTACCTGCACTTTGGTATCTTCTTGACGGGCTCGCAGAGCTTATACTGCCTCGTTTTGTCCGCCAGAGTGAATCCGTCGTCCGTTTGGAGTTCCAGAGGACACATCCTCCCCCCCGCGCACCTGCACTGTTTTTCGATCCACGGGGCGTCGTAGAGGTCAAGCTTGTTGCAGATCGCCCTTGGTGCACATTCGGGTAGATCAGCGTCGGACGTCTGCGGAAAAAACGCTCATCAATCAACGGTCGTTAAATTAGCGGCAGACGTCAGGTTTGAAGAATGGTGAAAACAATGAATGGCCGAACATGATATCCGAGGTTGAGAGCCGGAGGGAAGGGCGGTGCGGCCGTACAGGTGTTCTTAGGGGGTGCCCCACGACCGTACACCTTGCGTCTGGTCTTTGCCAGCCGTGGGAAAATCGACCAGTTGCTCGGCTGGTCGTGGGCCAGGCAGCCGCCCAGCACAATGCCGGCACCCTCCATCCGCCCCCTTCCCCCGCCGGCTCAGATTTGGCCGGAAGCTTTCCTTCTAGATTTCGCCATGGGAACGGATACGTCGCTAATTCGAACTAAGGAGTCGATTGGCAATTAACGCGCGCCATCTTGGGTCACGCGATTAGCGCGAAAATTGAATCCGGTTCGGTTTGTTCCGAGAAACGTTCGCAATTAGTACGCTGCTACCTGAGTCAGATTTGGAGATTAAATCTGACGGCATAAACATAAATTAACTACCGGGCTTTAGAATTTAACTCGGAGCGTCGATAAGGAGATAGCCCGAAATTAACGACGTCCCGTATTTAGAGGCGGGGCCAAGTACCGTCGCTACCATCAAAACTTTTTTAAAAAACACCATTTTTCTTCTTATTACTCGAGGAGTTTCGTAAAACCCGTTTAGTACCGGATCTGCTGTAATTTTCCAACCCATCATCGTTACGTATACGTAAAAATGATGGTTTTTGTCTCGTAAAAGCAGTTCCGGTGACCGAAGCCTCGACATTTTTCTATATGCGTTTCTTAGAACCGACGCAACTATCGCTATTGTAAATATTGCTAGTTAAATGCGGATACGTAGGTCTGCTTCAATTCACTTCCTCCCCATTGAACTCTCCACAATAGCCCGCAATGATTTAGGACCACGCTAAGAATCGCTCTCTTGCCCGTCCTGGGTTCCGGTACTTCCGCTCTTTTAAAATCGCTCGCTGCCTTTTGTCAGCCGACATAAAACCTTCGCGACTCGTACACATCTATCCAAAGAATCCCCCAGGAAGTCCTTTCAACCGCATTTTTTAAATTCACGCCAAAACGCCAAACCATTTTTGCCGCAATTACACCTACTTGAGACAGTTAACATTTAAATAACACTCGTTAACTTCAGTAACCATTAATTCACACAGTTCGTTCAAAACGACTGAACATTCCAATCGCGTAATAACAGCTACTGTTTAACTGTTCATTCGTCTTGACTAATTTTCGAAGATAACCCTAAAATTGTCAGTCCAGTGTTGTTTCGTTTTAACGCTAAATGAAGATTAATGGCGGAGCACATCGTCGTACCGTTCGATATAATTTCATAATTAACCTAGTAACCTTTGAAAGTTACAATCAAAAAATAACGACAAATTGAAATTCTCAAAATCGTGAATGTTACCACGAGTAAGTAAATGACGCAACAGTTCGAATTAACATTTAAAATCGTAACTTTTAAATTTTAAATGTTCGCTGTTGTTGTGGTATGCAAATGAGTGTTATTGTTATGAATCGCTAGGTAAACAATGTTGCCTAATCGCCGTAAAAATGCCAAATAGATCAATTCTGGAAGCGATCGTTATGTGAAAGTATTGGAAGCGTAGGTGTTCATTGCTTTAATTGAGGACAAGCGTGTAGTACCAGTACCGTATCGACGAAATTTGAAGCTCTGATCTTTTTATGTCACGTGGTCGAGCTTTCAGTGTTTGGACACCTGTGCAGAGCTGCTGCGAGAAAAAAAAATAGAAACAATTTGAAGGAGAGTGGATGTCTATAGCGATGAAACAAAGAACATTCCTGGATGCTGTAATATGGTAATTTTAAAGTTGTTGGTATTTGGGAAAATTGCTGCGGATGTGTACAAAGATTTGGGTTAAATCACTAAAGTAATTAATCAAAGCGTTTTCCAATATGTTTTAAATGGGATTTCTCATTAGAGTCAGTAAATTGCTTTGTGTAATGTTTTTAGTTTCCGGTGGTTTTCTTTCCGGGTTTCAGAGTCGATTTTTGCGATTTTTCAAACAAGAAAGACGCTATCATCGTTGGAAAAAAATGGTTTCGGATGTTTGTAAAATCGCGGTTTTTTTTTTGATAATTACTCAGGATCTGAATTATGAATATTCTATGCGGTACTGCAGGCTTCGTTTTCTTTTTCCGCAGTATTTGTGACCGAGAATGACCACAACATAAACAAACGAATTGTTTTTTTGGATATGTAACGACGGTCGTGTTTCCAGTTGATTGCGTAAAGTCGCCCATAAAATATGAGAAAGTTGTTTTAAATTTTAAATGTACGAAAATGCTTACCCCAATTTGGTACAAAATTTTAACGTTGTCGAAATCGATGTTTTTCTTTCGATGAAAGCCCGCATTGTGATTAAGTCTATGGTGATGAACATAGTGTTCGATCGGATGGTGCTGAAAAACTTCCAAAGGTAATCTCGAGCAGATGCATTGAATCGAAAAAAGCACTAAAACGACGACACTTTCGAAATACATCATACAAAAATTCCATCCGATCAGTCGAGTATTGGCAAAAACACAGTCCGAACGCACAAACACTGAACCGCAAGCGGCGTACCGATATGAATGAATTGCGTAACGCTAAGACTATGCCTTAGTGCTACTTTGATCATTTCACAGAGCGTACTACCAGAGGTACTACTAGCGAGCATGAATGGAGACAGATCAGGGACCAGGCATGCCCCCTAGACGCAACGCACTCGCCGATTCGCACTACCACTAACGGGATTTTTCGCCAAGGGTACCACCCTTTTCCTCCGGTACCACCTATGAAAAAAGACCAAAGCCTTGAGCACGATTGCGTAAGGTTTTTTCGACTTTTTTGCACATCAGCGCACACCTGTCGCCGAAGTGGGGGCTGTCTGCGCAGGGTGCCCGGATTTATGAATGGTACCACGGTCGTACTCTTGTAATTGTAAAATTTTCATTCATACGTACGCCGATTCATGCACATTCTACCAAACGCGTTATCAAACGTAAACTGACTTCGGTTCTTTGTTCGATTGGCCGAGAGAAAAAGTGAAAGGCGACCGCTTCGTATTTATTCTTCATATCGGATCGATTAATTGTTTGTTTTTAATTATTTGACGCGCACCGGCCACCTTTTTTCCTACGTAACTCCTAACGTAATTGTTTTAATTACCCCGGTTATTGCATTTGCTCGCACTTTAAACTATGCCGTCACCGGCAGTGACAGAGGCCCTGAATTCCTTCGTTGCACACAACACACCACTTCCAATTTTTTTTATTATTATTATTATTATTTTTATAACGTGTTGTCTGTGCAACACATCACGTAAACATTCTCAATTTAAATCATAATTATTCAAACAAAAACTTGTTCCTAGAAAATTTTAATTGTCGAGATGACTTAATTTCATCATTAATTCCTAAAATCCATACTTAACAACATTAATTGCTACAATATTTTGTTTTCTTTGTGATGACTGCTTACTCATTCTGTTCACAGAATTTTTTATTATTTCTGTTCTACGAAAAATATTCACATTATTTTAATATTATTAATAACAATGATGCCTAAAGCCGGTTGTTGTGTGCAAATTCCACTATGTCTACGTTGTATAGGTGCCTGCGTGTGCGTTCGTCCGTAATATCTAACTCCGCTAACTATAAGTTACTGATTCCGCCGACACACAATTTAACCCTTTGCCACCATTTTTTTTTTATTATTATCAATATTATTATTATTCAACAAATATAATTTTAATTACAAGGCCAAATTCAGGACAAGAGGCGCAAGCATTCAGATTCACAACGAATCCAAAATTAAAAAATCCACAGAAAATGGCTTTCCATATAAAACCCAAACTCGAATTTTAAAATAGTCGATTTTCTACTTCTGAAGGTTCGCTTTTTACGAAATTTTCAACAGAAAGAAAGACGGCAACGGAAAACCTTCATTTTCGTATTCTACGAAGTGTAGAAATTCGAAAATGCATTTTTAGTGTGACATGTTTTTGAGCCTGAAATAATCATCACCATATAGGCACCTCTCATTATCTTTCTCTTTTAAAAGTAATCTAAAAATCAAAGTGCTCAACATAAATTTCAACATATTTGCCGATATCTTTCGGTACGACGGTACGTAGGCGCTTTCATTCGTTAAAAAGCAGCGTCACCCCACCTTTTCTTTCACAAGGCATCAAAATGCGTGCTCTGCTTCTCCTTTCATTAGTAGTACCACTAAGTACCATTTTCGCGATTTAAATATCTCACCTTGCCCATCGCCCACGCTCGGAGAACGAATACCTCGTTCCAAGCCTTAAAAAATCTAGCAGCGATCTGATTTCCGGCGACCGCTTTTAAAGCCGGTCGTGAAAGAAGTCCGTAGAGAAGTCGCAGCATGATGGTACCGACTGTGCTTGACCAGTACCGGATTTAGGCAGTGGAAGTTAGGCCTGCTGCGGTTTCGCATTCTTCAACGTTACGTCATCGAAAACAGTCTTCACTTAAATACCGGTTTTTCGTTTCTGTTTTCTCGCCGAATTTTATCAAGTAGTACCGAATTTGAAGAGAAAACGGAAACGAAGGGATGGATCGAAGATATTCCTCATACCTGACCTGTATGGGACCGTGCATTCCGCACCTGTTGCGTCCGGAAGTTCACGTAACAGAAATGTCTCCTATAAACAAGTTCCAAAATGTCAGATTCTTAATAATGATGGGAGGTACTAACTGACGCGTGAGTGCGCAGTGGACATTAGATCGAAGAATCTTCAAGACGATGTATTTATAACGAGTACCGAAATAGTGTGTGCACTTTGGGTGCCGTTATCAGTATCCGGAATGAGTACAAAAAATTTTTTGTGTGATTGGTGTGCCAAGTATGCATGGTTTGGTATTTCTCATGGCGGTATCACCGTAAATCGCTCCGAGGCGGGCTTGAGCCGCTTCTGAGTGTCCAATTTCCGTTTTGTCAAAATTTTAGAGAGTCCTTGCTTAGTAGCACAGTTAAAAAACCGGAAGCGGCGGACTTTCAAATGAGATGTCAATTAAAAATAACTAAAATGGTGGTACCGCGATGTCTCGACGGGGGGGTCGTATTTTGGAAAGGTCTGGCGCCGAGACCACTTTTCTCGATCCACAAATGTTTATGCAAATATAATAATCGCTATAATAAACTATTTCCGGCGCAAGAATTTCGAAAAAACTTCATGTCGTACTGTTTCCGTTTTACCTGCAATTTGTGTTTATTGCTATCTGAGAGTGTTTTTTTCTGTATCTAGAGTTTATGGCGGCAGCTATTTATATCACGGATGCGACTATTAGCGTAGAAAATACTCTTGAAAAGTACTAATAGTCCGTTTTAGTTGTGTCGATAAAGTGGTAGTACTAAGATCGTACTCGCTTTATTAAATTCATGCACACTGGCAAATGAAGAACGCTAATAATCGTAATAATAAGCCGATAACGCATAATTAAAGACTAACGTTATTATTATTATTTGGGTAGCAGAGCTATATTTTACCAGTGCCCGCAGACGGTTATCTTATTGATGGCAATTAAGGACCGACTCCGTTTAAAATTGCAACCGTGTTTGTATGACACCAATCCGAACTGGTTCAACCAGTTGTGTGGTTTCTTACTGATTAATCAAATGCAAATTTTAGATTTAAAAGGAATTAATTTGCCCTCGCAGCAAAAAATTTGGTTCCTTTTTCGACACAACAAAGACATAATTATTATAAGACAAAAAAGGTAGAAGTCATTTGCTAGATACAAAGCGCGGGTAAATTTCATGTTAGTGTATGACTTCCGTCACCTAAGGCACTTCAAGAAAAACTGGCTCTATCGCCCGAGTTTCAGGTTCAACGGATGCCGACGCTGTTTCTCGAAGTGTTCAGCGGACGTTTGCTCAGAAAGTCAGCGACGTGCGCATGTGTATTTGTTAATTGTTAATTTCCGCGCACGCGCACATCAAACTACTCGATCTCTTCATATTAAACTTTATTCAAACTAATTGCTTGTGATAATTACAAACGATAGGTAAATTATCTCCTGCCAGGGGTGTCTCCGCCATTGAGCCAGTCGTCGTCAGTTCCAGCTCCGTCAATGTCTCCATTAGCACAGCTTTCGTCGAAAGTGTTGACGCAGCGTTTTCCTGGTCCGCTGCCTCCATTGAGGAACCCTTCGTCCGATGCTGCGCCATTAATGTTGTCATTGATACAGCTTTCGTCAAACGTATTGACACAACGTCTGCTGGCAAGATGCAAGCGGTGGAACATATCACCGAGACGCTTGTAAACTGGGGCACTTCTAGAATTGACTCTTGCGGGCATGTAATGCACGTTAGGTTGCAAGTAGAAGCAATAGGCTGCCGGGAGGGCAATAGCCAGGAGGATGAAAGCGGCCTTCATGTTTCTAAAAACAAATTTACAAATTTTTAGAAACGGCACACACATATATTGTTTCTAAAATATGAACATGTATTGCTACTTACTCTCTAGTTCGGAAGAGTAACCACTTGGAACTGATCATCATTGAACGCTTAGCGTTTTTATACGTTTGTTTTATCTTGATGTCAGTTATTATTCGGGAGAAATTCATAATTAATGGAGCATATGCGTTGTTATCTATGAGTGTTTGATTAAACAGTTTCTTCTTTTCGCAACTGTAGGGATTCGCTTGTAGCTTGACTTGTTTATCATAGTGCTTAAAATATGAAGTTATTCATTACTTTTTATCTACTTTTTCATTTCCTGCATTTTTAATAATACACATAACTTCATTAAAGTGATATTGAGTAAAAGGGTTCATGAATCACAATGTATCCATTGTATTTTAAATTTGTTGCAATTGTCCAGACAATTTGTGTGTTAAAGCGGCTATATATAGAATCCTGCAGGTTTATACGTAGGATTGACGTTCGGGGTGAATTTCTTCCAAATATAGGTATAATATATACACTCATGTTTGTGTTATTTTTGCAGAGTATTATCAAATTTGACACATAGTTTTAAAAAATGTTCAATATGTACCTTTGTTGTGCCAGTGTGAAATTTTTGTAAATATTTTAGTATTTTTAATGTTTTTGTGGTTTTTGTAATACCATATGGATGACAAAAGGTCAAAATAGTACTGAGAGAGGTACAAAAGACACAAAAGCCATATAATTAAAATTAAATTGGTTTAATATACATTCATTTAAAAATAAACTTTGATTCACAGTATAAAAAGGTGCAAAGAAGGTAGCAGACGCCGTTTAATAAAAAAAATACAGAAGTAATAGAACAAATAACTAACAATTATAACAATTTTGTGCAAAAATATATATGGTGGTGATAAATTAAAATGAGAAAATTATTTAGTATTTATTGTTAATTTTTTCCTATAGAGTCTATTATAGGCAAGCAATAGCCCCGCCCACCCTCCCCCATTTCATTCCAGTGACTACTCTTAATATTGTTCAGTCTTATCATCGCAAGTACTAGCCCCGCCCGCCCACCCTCTATTTTCTTACAGAATATATCACTTGCCAAAATCAGTCTTATCTTAGCAAGTACTAGTCCCGCCCACCCTCCGTCTTCTCATTTTAGCGACTAATTTTATTTCTGTATAAGATCCACCTTTCATTCATAGTAGATAAAATTAGTCACCGAAATGGAGGCGGGTGGGTGGGCGGGGTTAGTTATATGTTTTTCTATAGAGTGGGAGTGTGAACTGATACAATGAGCACTATATGTATACCGCGTGTCTGGAAAATGGCGTACGTTATATACGGGAGTTTCGGGAGTCCCAAAAAAATAATAAAAAAATTCTTTATGATGTAGATTACGAAAAAAATGTAATTTTATAAAAGTAAAATTGGCAACACAGCACACATCTAATGCGTGAATACCTTCGGCTTACTTTCTGGTTTCTTAGTAACGATGGTGACTGAAATCCACCTTCGCTTTATATCAGGCAAACATTGTTGTCAAATGGAATTTTATCAAATTATTACAAAAACAACACAACCATATCTTTGTGCATTCTAAGTGAAATGGTAATTAAACATGGTCATGGACGAGAAAAATATTAACTAAAAGTTTTATTACTAGTTATTGTGATAATGAATGAGTTGTTTAGCTGTTAAACGTAGCAAAAAACCAATTTTAAAATCATTATTACTCCACCAAAATGTAGGAAGGATTTTTTTTATTTTTTTCCCACACTCACCAGTTGATTTTTAAGAGCGTAGCGGAGAGTTAATCGGCCATTTTCCAGACACCGGTATATATATATATATATCTAATCGTAACTTTTTTTGTTGTACTATTTGTTATAAGATTTATTTCGTATTTCAAGATAAAAATAAATGAGAGAACGGGTGGGTGGGCGGGGCCAAGTTTAACTTTTTCCTAGAGAATTTTTTCTAGGCAAGCAGTAGCAAGGTCAAAATAGTACTGACTGAAAGAGGTACAAAAGATACTAAAGCCATAGAATTAAAATTAAACTGGGTTAAAATACATTCATTTAAAAATATCGTTTAATTCGCAGTATAAAAAGGCGCAAAGGAGATAGCGTACGCGGTTTAATAATAATAAATGTATTGCTCATATATAAAACAACTACATTAAAGCTCGTCAGAAAGTATATAATTGTATAACATATAAAATTGTACACAAAACATGTATAGATTCACAAACACTTTAAATGTCTACATTAAATTTCCGTTAGCACAAAGTCTATAAACTCGCTAATACAATAAAAACTATGCGATTGCAGCATTGTTTTAATTCTACTTTTAAAGCAATTTCTTTGAAGACATTTGACAGTACACGGTACAGCATTAAACAATTTTACGGAGATGAAGTTTACCGACTGTTGTATGTTGTATCTTTTGCAAACGGCAATAAGGAATAGTTAATTGACTGCGATTTCTTGTATTGTAGCAATGATTGTCAGAGTTTAACAAAAATTTGGATTGATTATCAAAAGTATAGATTAAAGTGTAGTATGTAGATAAACAAACAAGGTAGTGTTAATATATTTAGAGATTGAAAAAAATTTTTACAAGAAGTTCTTGAACTAATTTTACAAATTATCCTTAAAGCTTTTTTCTGAATTTTAAATAATAAAAAAAATTACAGAAGTAATAGAATAAATAATTGACAATTATAACAGTTTTGTGTATGGGGGTATAATAAATTAAAATGAGAAAATTATTGGACAAGTCGTAATAACACGCTATGTTCCCCCGTGGATCTATATACCATGAGTATTTACATTTTGGATTCTTGTATTTAAAAAATATATGTCGATTCTGAAATAATTAAATATTCTAACGTTTTTATTTTAGTTTTTTACTTCCCGAGCGTAAGCAAAAGAAGTATTGTAATCGAGTCCGTCGGCCGAGTTTCTACTTTACGTTTTCTCGATCTTTCATGACCCCTAGAAGACGAAGAAATAGGTCTCCCATTTCCGTCCGTCTGTCCGTCTGTCTGTCTGTCCGTCTGTCCGTCCGTCTGTCCGTCTGTCTGCCGTCCCGGATTTTTATTACGCAGATAATCTCCGAAAGTACTTGACCGATTGTTGTGAAATTTTGTACTTATATTAGGAATATCATGTAGGTGGTAAAACGCTAACCAAATTTGTCTAATCATCCCCACCACTAATATGATGACGTCACTTCAAAATTGTACATAGTAAAGGGGTTTTAAATTGTATAAAATAATGTAGTTTACGACTCCGAATTGAGTTTTTACCCGAAACGTCCAGATTTTTGGAAAAAAAATCAAAATTATAAAATAACATTTTGCAATCTAATTTTGAATTTGCTAATCCGAATGTTTTGAAATGTTGCAGATATTTTAAGGCTATAAAGAGCATCATAAATCTTTACTCAAAATATATTTGGTTATCCCCTCCAAAAACTTGATGACGTCAGCTCAAAAGTTTGCCAAATAAATCCTATGTAAAATGTACAAAATATGATGAGTCTGTACATTGATTAAATACATATGTATTTAATCAATGGTCTGTACTTGTAATTTATCATTCCATTAATATTTTTTGAATTTGCATATACCGGGTGACTCAAAAAAAAAATGAAATCTACTGCGAAAAAAAAACATAATAGACATGCAGTCGTCACGTTTCCGACAGCAAGGGAAGTACTGTCTAAACTCTTTAGACCAATTTTTTTTATAATTCCATTTTGGCCTCGTCTTGAACTAGTTGACAAAGAACCATGTTGATGAGTAGGCAACTATAAGACCTCGGTGTTAATTGTGTTGCCTATATTTCGATAACACCTTCGAACATTTTTGGAAGCTTTGGAAGTTTTAGTTGTTATTATAACGAAACAGCTTTTTCATAGCAAAAATTGTAAATAATGTGTTCCCAATTCCATAGTATATGTTTATCAATTTTATTTAACATTCAGTATAGCGCTATCTATGAAAGAGTGGATAAAATAAGCCAACGAAGCGTCATTTCCATTACAGGCTGCATCTAAGAGATTTTTGCGATTTGGATTACTATAGAAAACTAATTGATGATGATGAGTTTTGAATCGTCGATATATGCAACCAACATTACAATTATCATAATGTATAAACGCAACCTTTGGACAAAGTTCTAGGTTTTCCCAGTAATCTGCTTGTGGTCGTTGGCCTCACTTTTACACATTTTCACAGTCAATTGTCGTTTTTAGTTACATTTTTAATCAGTGGTCGTTTAATTAATGCAATATAGTAACAAAACATAAGTTCCCTAATATTCAGGTCACGCAAAAACCACTAATACAATAAAACAAACATATTTACAGCATGAACAGTAATGAACATAATAAAGAACAGAAAAAATATAATCCTACAGACCACCTACTACAATAAAAACGACAGTCTCGTTTGTCGCATTACCGCATTACTTGAAAAAAATCGATGCCATTTATAACTCGTTCTTAATATAAAGTAAGCTGGTTCGAATCGTGTAATCGCATAAAAAAAGAGCACAACAGCAAATATTTTGTGTCTCTCACTTTTAAATCTAATAATAATTAAATTGCGCAATTTAGCTGATACGCTATCGAACATGAAAACTGTTTCAACGTCTGCGATAAGTGTTGATTTTTCTTTCGATTTCGATATTTGTTGTTACTAGTCGAGATTATACATCTGTACGATCAGAGTAATTCGGCATCCCCAAAACTTGGTTGGGTGATTGTGTTTATCACATAATCGCAGTGGGCACGGAGAGAACTGTCACTCGAGAATTTTTTTTAACGCCCGTACGCCGTCATTTAGTGGATTTGGTAGTGAGACAGGTCTGGAAATGTACTTACTGGTAAACTACCGGCTTCTAGGACAGAAAGTCAATTCCCTTCTTCGCATATTTTGGCCTTAGGCTCGAAGGCAGGCCAGGTCAGTCGGCCATATCTGCTGGCCAATTCGGGAACGACAGTGCCGCAGTATCGTCCATGCGATAAAACGCCGATATACGCGAACAGTGCTGTTGTAAATGAAAGTACTGAAATGTCAGTTTAATAATAAATAGTGAAGACGGAAGTTAAATCAGGTTAAATCGAGAATTAGGTGATTTCATGACGGGATAATATGCAGTAATGTGTCGCATAGAAAGACACACAAACGCAAACATAATATGAGAAAAAAAATTAGGTTAAGATAGGGTAATTAAACGCTAAACAATATTGGACTGTATATAGGTATGTAAATGTATTAATTTATTAAAACTTGGAGTCCCATCTAAACATGCTTAACTATTGCTGTTATATTATTACGTGGTTTTAAAATATAGTGCAAACATAAAAATGGCAAATAATACGTTTGATCATGAAGATAAGGCCAGGTGAGTCCCACTTCGTCGCACTACGCCCTACTCACGCTTGTTTTTAGCTGGTATTTTGGACCAATCAGCCGGAAAGAAGCGACCGACTTACTTATGGCAGAACGAGGAGGAGGTGTTTTCTTAGTTCGTGATAGTGCAACTTGTGTTGGAGACTTTGTGCTGTGTGTAAAGTACGTCTCGACTACCCCCTTATAATAAATGCTAACTCCCCCATTTCAGAGAAGATAGTAAAGTAAGCCACTATATAATTAACAAGACGCAACAAATGGATCAAATTAAATATAGGATTGGAGATCAATGTTTCAACGATTTACCAAGCTTGCTTTCGTTCTATAAGGTGCATTATTTAGATACAACACCACTTATTAGACCTGTTTCAAAGAAAGAGGAAAAAGTTATCGCCAAGTTCGATTTCGATGGTAGGGATCCAGATGATCTAGTCTTTAAAAAGGGAGAGATTCTCACTATTATTGCAAAGGACGAGGAGCAGTGGTGGACGGCAAGAAATAGTGCTGGTATGAAAGGATCAATCCCTGTTCCGTATGTTCAGAAGGTATTATTTTGACCATTCTAACCTCGCTTCCACTTCGCACACGTCACGCTCATCCACCAATAATACGTCCCAATTTCATACACGTGACCTACGTTTCGTTATTATTGGTAGATAAATTCGTGCCCCTCCTTCTGTGGACGCCATTTTTGACCATTTGTTTATTGAACTTCTGGAATTTAGAAAACAAAAATTGTAGTCTTGTGCACGTGATTCAATTTTAATATATTCAAACAATCGTGCTTTTTTCAGATTTTTAACGAACACTTGCACAAGATTCAAGGGGACGTCATAGGTGTAGGGTTTTGAAAAAAATAAAAAATCCAGAAGTTCCTCAAGCAAAAATACCAATTTTTTTATGTGCTGATTTTAGTATGAAGAATGTCAAGTAAACAATGAAATCCCGCGGCCTGGTTCTGGGGGTGGTGTGACAACATCAGCTCAACAAGCTGAAACTGCCATGAAACGAAGTCAAATGCAAGTACGTTGGGTTTTGAAGTATTGTTGCGTGTGCTAATCATGACGTTCTAGCGAAAGCTTCCAGCAAAAGCGCGAGTGAAACAAGTTCGTGTACCAAACGCTTATGACAAAACTGCTTTAAAATTGGAAATCGGCGATATTATCACTGTTACCAAAACTAACATCAATGGGCAATGGGAGGGGGAGCTGAATGGGAAAACTGGCTACTTTCCGTTTACACATGTAGAGTTTCTAGATAATGATAATGAAATTTAGTGTTTTAAATGATAATATGATTGTATAAATGCTCCAATCTGCTGTATATTTATTAAATTTATTTGGCACTAACATATAATGTTTAACCTAATCAGCTACTTGTGTTGTTAATATCGATTTGTATTTTTATTAATTACATATCAATATTTACATAAGTTGCTTCTTATTTCAACACTGGTATGTCTGGAGTAAGTATGTGTATTGTGAAGTCGACATCACTCAGCGCAACCTCGTTAATAAAAAAGTAAATAAGAATGCACCCATAGTTGATCCTTGTAACACACCAGAACTAAAGATATCCGTCTTATTGATGGTTAATTATGTATGACAACGTGAGTAGAAAATAACAATAAGATGACCATCGCTCAAATATCACGGGCGTGTCGCAATTTATGTAACAATCAATGTTTCGCCCAAATCATGCATTTGCGACGAAAACTTCGAGTGATGGGTAAACTTGCCTGAAGATTATTTTATTATAATTCTACTTTGATTTTTTTTGCACGTTTTTTTCGACCTGTCGAAACATATTGAAACATTCTGTAGATTGTTGAGTTGGTTTTTGAATTTCCCGCGTTGTTGTCAAGGCGACTTGAAAAACGCCCGCCTTTATGGCTGGCTTTAGGTATTTTTAGCCTCAAGGTCGTCGTCCGGAAAGATTTTTTTCGTGCGAATTATCAATGGCACATTACTCAGTAATCACCTATCTTGCAAAGTTTAGTAAAATAGTTAAATTTTTTGTCATTTTTGGTTAAATTTCGCTCAGGTTTTGGTTAAATCGACGTTTTGAAGGTGTCATTTGGTGAAATTTGATCCTTGCAGTTGTTAGCGTTGGTAATTTCCTGCATTACCGACCGGACAATTACATACACTAGGAAAGTGTGTGATGCGTTGATTGTTGATTATCCTGTCTTTAAAATGTAAATAATAAATATAAAACAAAATGGGTCGTTCAAAATTTCCCGGAAAACCATCAAAACATGTTAACCGGAAAAGAATTAACGTTCTTCCACCCACCTCAGACGGAATTATTGAATCTAGTGGGCCTATGACAGTTGAAACTGTTGCAGAAAACAAACAGGTAAACATAAACAGTTTTGTATATGCCGAAAGCCCCCTCGAGTACGTGCTAAAAGTGGTAATTCCGTCCATTTCAGGTTGAAAAAGATGTAGAAGAGACCCGCGAAAGTGTAAATTTAAACAATACCATAAACACAAAAGTGTCATTGAGAAGAAGACTGACTAGGAAGATGCAGAGCTCGAAAGCACTCATGAGCAATAACTCGACGAAGCGCGGGCTCATGTCCAAACTTTGTAACAAAAACAGTGTTAAATTATCCGTTAAAAACAAACTAAACTGCAAAGGTTCCCGCAAATCCAACATCACGCGAAAGTCCGTGCACGCTTACTCTCCGATAAAAATCAAGCAGTGTCGAGCGAAAGAAAGCAACAATTTAGTTGGAAAGTTCGTCTTGCCGACCCGAAGCGTCCACTCTTCCCGGGTCATCAAACCCAACAAGAGATTCATCAACGTCGACCTCAGTGACACCCTAACACTGAAAAAACGCGTCATCAACAAAAGACACCTCAAACAACCTGAAGGCCCGTCGAAACAAAAGGACATCGTGACGGAGTCCCCTTCGAAGCCCTTCTCTGGAGTAGTGCTGCGCCAAGCCCGCCTCAAACTCCACAACCAAACTCCAAAGGGCTCCGAAGGCCCCTTCTCCAGCACGTCGACGAACGGCTCTCCTCCAGGAACCGTCACGTGCGGTGTCTGCGGTGCCGTCCGTTTCTATCGTTTCGTGAAGCAAGCGCGCAAGTTCAACATATACAGCTGCGAGTCCTGTAGGAAGTTCATCTCGAAGATGATAAAACGCCAATCTTGCGGGAAAAACGTCAACAACCCCACGTTGGTGTGTCACAAGGGACAAGGGATGTGTCACGTGCCGCCGATCGTCCGCAGCCAGCAGATGAAACTCATTCGGTGCGCTTATCGGTCACGGTGTCCGGCGTGTTGGTTAAAGATGTGCCTTCGTTCCTTTCAAATGCCATTATCCTTAAAGAATAGTCTAATCCAATTACTTCCTAAAAATATGCAAGGGTCTGACGTTATGTTTAATAACTCGTTACCGTTGTTATGGCAAGTTAGTGTTCAGAATATCGATAATCAGATCAGCAAACAGAGAACCGAAAGTGACGTGGCTCAGAGACCTGTGAGGTTTAAAAATAAACCCGTCAGTGTGCCGCCCCCGAGTTCGGAGATCAAGAGGCAGAAAGTCGACTTGAAAGGACCTCGGGTCAAGCACGTGTGTAGAAGTGCTTCTATAGTTTTAGGACAGCCGTTGGCTACTTTTCCTTCAGAGACGCAGAAAAAGAAAGACGCGCAGGAACAAAGCTCGGGTAAAAAAGCACAAAGCAAAGGTGTATCTAACACGTGTACAGAAAATTTAGATACACAGCTTACTAAACCTGCAAGAGATGAATGTAGTGAGCATGAATCCGATAACGATAAATCTGCAAAGGTGCCATCACTCACTAATGAAAATGTTGCGAATATCAAGAGGGATAGGAGCCATAGAGTGCCTTCAACTGTTTCATCTGTATCATCACTTTCGTTTTCTTCCGCGTTTTCGTCTTCACTTTCATCTACACCAGCGTGCGAGGTAGAATATTTCGTGTATTTACGTTTTTTAACTTTTACAACCGCCCGAGTCTATGCTTAAATTAACTTTTTTGTTTTTACGCAGGGTTGACCGTCGCTTCGAGTCTTGCCAACTGATAAATTTTTGTGCTTTTTTTAGAACGTCAAAAAAATTTATTGCAAATTTCTATTGTATTTTTTTTATGAACTTTGATATATCGCCATTTTAAATCGCTTAAAAAAATAATTCAAGGCTACGAACTTGGCGATATGAACAAGCAAAGATTCCAAGTGACGGAAAATCCTTTTGTTGAAAAATTTTTAAATTCGTTCTTTTCCAGAACAAATCGGACCTTGAGAAGAAACCCACTCCACAAGATGTTCAAAATATGATCTCGCTAGATTATTGGGAAAACTACGAGTTGGACGATATAAATCAAAATGGGTTTTGTCTTATTGCTTCCCAGCAGTTTCCAATGCCTGCTATTTGTTTCCTCTGCGGGAGCGCAGGTCGTGAAGCTATGTTACACTGTTCACTTTGTTGTGAACCATATCATCCATATTGTCTAGAGAGAAGTCCTCCACTTGTTAATAGCAACAATAGTAGACAGTACTTGTGGCTGTGCCCTAAATGCACGACGTGCAATGGGTGTAATCAAGTAGGCAGACAAAAACTGAACTGTCAAAAGTGTTCCAAAGTGTATCACTCTGAATGTTTCAAAACAGAGTGGACCGGAAAAGATAGACCAATTGTGAGTATAAAAACTAATTTCTTGTATTGGTACGTTAGTTGTAGCGTTGCGCATTGACACATTTGTCAGTACATAACCTATATCGGTACCTAGTTTGGTTTTTCCGATACGTCACATCGCCATTTTTTGGTACACGTGTATATCAAGATGTCTTTGTCTTTCGTCGCATTTAATTTTTTTCAATTTTTTCAAAAATGCTAGCAGTATGTTAGTTTACGCAACATAGCGACTACATTAATGACGCTTTCTTTGTAGATATGTTCCAAATGCGTAAGTTGCAAAGACTGTGGAGACAGCACGACAAAATTTTTCGGAAACTTGCCTCTCTGTATTTCGTGTTTTAAGCAACGGAAAAAGGGGAACTCGTGTCCGATGTGTCTGGTACCCTTCAAAGAAGTACCCTGTGACGAAAAGGTACTATCATCATTAAACATGTGTGGTCACCCAAAAACGTCCTTATTTCAGGTGATGGAGTGTACAAGGTGTAAAAAATGGGTTCATGCCGATTGTGAAAATCTGTCAGAAGAGTATTATCATATATTAAGTTATCTTCCCGAGTCCGTCAAGTACTTGTGTTGTGTGTGTTCCAAACAGTCGCCTTCGTACTGGTGCAAAGCAGTAGAGTTCGAACTGAAGTATAGTTTTAATCATGTTTTAAGGTTACTGAGTAAGAACAAAACAGCGAAAAGTATGTTAAAATTAAGTTTTTTAAATAATTATATTTCATTGAATAGAGCCGGTGATAAGAAAGAGAGCGATTGTGAGAATAGCAATGACAATCACGAGACATATTTTGACAATAGCGAGAAACTGAACGACAGTGCAGCCGATTTTAAAAGCCACCCTCGAACCCTAACTGTGTTAGATATTAAACGCAAATCGAATTCGAACGAATACTCTTCCGTGAGCGATTTCAACAAAGAGATGGAAGAAGCGTTGGCTCACACACAATCCGACGAGTTATTAAACATCTACAAATCGATCTTCAAGTCGGTGTTCCCTTGGTTTAAGCCATCACTGGCCCCCGACGACGTAACGAAAAGCAATTCCAAACGGTTTTTAACTAGTATTAGCGAAGACATTTACGACCAAATCGAATGCGTATCTATAGATTCACGATATTGCTCATTTTGCAAAAGCATAGGTGATGGCTTAAGCCACCTCGAATCTCGCTTGCTCTACTGTGGCCAAAACGAATGGGTGCACATTAACTGCGCCGTGTGGTCATCGGAAGTGTACGAAGAAATCGACGGATCGTTGCAGAACGTCCACGGGGCTTTGACGCGCGCTCGCCTCATGCGGTGCTCCTACTGTAAACAAAAAGGGGCAACTGTGGGTTGTTGTTTCAAGAACTGTTGCGAAATTTACCATTTTTTATGCGCGCGTACGGCGAAGTGCCACTTCATGCACGACAAAACTGTGTACTGTTGCAGTCACGAGCTGCCGAAAACGAGTAGCGTCATAGTTACTCCCACTGATTTCAATATTAGGAGAAGCGTGTTCGTGGAACTCGCCGATTATAAAAAGGGGCAGTTTTCTCACATCGAGAAAGTTAACGTGATGGTGGGATCGCTCTGTGTTACGAATCTCGGGAAGATCAATCCTGTGATGTCAGATACGTCGGAGGCGATCATTCCTACAGGGTACAGTTGCTCGAGGTTGTTTTGGTCGACGGTGGAACCGTGGAAGTTGGTTTCTTATAAAATAACCACGTCCATTTTAAACGCTCACGTGAACAATTTACACATTGATAAGAGTTTTACGGTTGACCATTCGCTACCGAAGTCGGTTGTTGAACGCAAACTCAAAGATATTTTATTGTGGCATAAAGATATCGACAAGAAGAAGCTAGACGTGATGGAGTTCGACGATGAGGAGGAGCCACAAAACGGTGCCGATTTGTTGTCCCCGGAAATAACCGATGCGATTTTCGAGGAACTTCCGCACGAACTTTTAGATGGAATCTCCGTTCAGGATATTTTCCCTAAGTTGATGTCGTACGAAGATTTTATCAGTATGGACTCGAAATCGGAAACGAATCACTCCGATGGGGTCACCGACGTGAAAAAGTCGGACGAGTTTGACAACGTCGACGAATTCGACGGGAAAAACAAAAATCAGCAACGGTCGTGTAATTTAACGCTGAGTTGTAAACTCGACAACAGTTTCTCGCCTGTGATTAAAAAACGGAAAATTGCTCCAAGAGAAAATAATTTATTTTTTCAGTTGTTACAAGTGGATGGTAATTTTGATGATAGTTCGAGTGACTGTGGGTCTCCAGTGGGTACTACGCACACAGTGTGGGATTCAGATTTGTCTGAAGAGCCAGTCACGTGTGAGAGGTGTCAATGTACTTACAGAACGCAGGCTAGTTACAAAAGACATTTAGACGCTTGCGAAATTATCTGTAGTAGTGAGAGTGATTCGGAACTAAACCAGGATCAAGATAACGGGAATAGTAATCTCGAAACGCCTCAGATACATATACCGGACACTGCTCCCGTTTCCGTAGCCACTGATACTCAACCACTCGTCATAGCATCGTACGAATCGTACCAAAACGAGGTCCACACTTCGGTTTTAAATACTCAAACTTTCGTCGCTTCTAAAGCAACTTCCGAAGTGATGTCGGTCCCTCAAAACTCGGAAATAATCATCCAGAAACCGATTATTCAACCGGAAATATCTTGTAGCGTAACCGAACCAATAACCGAACCGATCATCAGCAACGAGGTGTTCACACCGTCTCAACCGTCCGTTCCTGTCAATGAACAACAACAATTTTGCATCAACCCGGTTTCGTTATGCGTAAATCCACCACTCACAATACAACCGACGCAACCAGTTATCAATAATAACCCGATTATAAATCAGATTGCCATAAGTCAGCCACAACTGGAATTCCAACCACCATCCGTCACAATTCAATCACTGCCGTACTCCACGAACATAGCTCCTATTATAAACGTGCCTCCGCTGAACAACCCAAATATACTTAACTCGGTGATCAACGTTCCTGGAAATCGGTGGGTGAAGCCGGTGGAGCAGATTCAAAGCCCGAAAACTTTCAAAGGAAGAGGACGATCTATTGCTGCGAAGCGTGCTCAAGGTGAAGAGGAAGCAAGTTCTACGCCTGTGATTCTACAACATTTGCCGTCTGCGGGTTTCATTCCCACGTTCGTAGACGCGTTTCAACAACAATCTGGGCAAAATGTACAGTATGTTACGACGATAGCGCCACAGACGATACCTTCGCAACCACTAGTGCAGTTTCAAGCCGACAGTAACTTGATTAGTCTTCTGCCCGGTATTCAACCAACCATGATCATACAACAACCACGGGTTTTGGAAAACCAGCTGATAGTAGATGGTAATGGTTCGTTGAGTTGGTCGCCACAACAAGTACAACCAGTGTACTACGGTTTTGAAACTATAGTCCAAAACACGGTCATGCAATCTCAACAGTTCCTTCCTTCCACGGTTCCAGGGGTGTTAACTGCTAATAGTAGTTATTCAACAACGACGCAAGTGTTTCAAACTAGTAAACTAGAACCAGTATTAGATGTAGCAGCGAATAGTTTCGTCTTAGTTAATACAGGACAGTTGGTTAATTCGCAGTTAGAAGTACCACAAAATACGCTCCAGATACAACCACAAGAGGTTAATTCGTGCAAATACTCACAACCGTCGTTCCACAAGTTGAACCAAACGGTTGCTCTCAACAATTCGAACAGTATTACTTTACCAACAGCCCCGTTTGTTCCGGAACAAGGAATACCAACCAACATTGTTACCCCTACGCCGAAACCTTTACCGACCATGCAGAGTCGGCCGATGAGCCGGGTACTACCGATGCAAACTCTCAAAGAAACTAAAGAAACGAAAATCAAACTGGTGGAAAAAATAGAAGCCATCAGAAAAGAAATAAAAATTAACAAAATAGTCGAACCCGTGGTGGAATACGACAAAAAAATAATCCCGGAGAGCGTCAAAAAACCCCTACCGGTACCCCTCGAGAACGACCCGAACATCAAAAAGGACCAGAATCTAAAACTACTATTTCCAAAACCAACAGAAACCAGTTGTTTTAAAGCGGCCGAAGAACTCCCAATCCCGAATATCACCACCCCTAAAATAACCAACTTCAACAAACCGACGGAAGCCGTTTACAAAATCAACAACAACTTCAGCAGCCGCAACTCTCCAGTACAAATAGCACCGTTGAAACCCATCAAGTCCACTTTCAACCCGCCCAAATCTGTACACATCTTGTCCCTCAGCGATAAGCAAAACCGCCAGCAGGACAAACTAGATAAAAAAGTTAGTTTAGAAGCACCAAAGCACTTTCCCATTCAAGAGAAAAAAGAAAACGAGAACGTACCCTCCATTTTGTATACAATCGAAACGCAAGATGGTTTCAAATACTCGTCGACTTCCATCGCGGATTTGTGGACCAAGGTTTTCGAAGCCGTGCAGAATGCCAGAGCTGCCCATAACATGCCCCTGCTGCCTACGGATTCCACGAATATCGTCAACAGTTTGCAAATTCTGGGGTTGAAAACTTCGGGTTTGAAGTACTTGATCGAGCAGTTACCGGGGGCGAGTAAATGCACGAAGTACAGGCCGACTTTCAATTTTCCGTCGAAATATATAGAAATCGAAGAGGATCTGGTGGGGCACTCGAGTGGGTGTGCCCGCTGTGCCCCGCACGTGAAAAGAAATGAACCTTACGACATGTTTGGATGGTTAGCTTCCAAACATCGCAAACCTGAACATAGCTTGTTTTGTTCGGATTTGGTGCCCAGGTATGTAGAACGTAACGTAATTTATCGTTTGTGATTGGTCGTTTTCAGAAGGGGCTCTGTAAATAATTTGCCTATGGCAATGCGATTCCGGCAACTGAAACTTACTAGTAAATATTCAGTAGGTGTATATCGTTCAAAGATACACAGAAGGGGGTTATTCTGTTTGAGAGATTTTGAAGCTGGAGAAATGGTTATAGAATACTCAGGTGAAGTAAGTATTACTTTTAGCTTAATTGTCGTACTATTAACAACTAATACGGTAACTATTTGCGAGAGGCGGCACAGTTGTAGCATTGCTCGTTTTTGAAGTAAGCGGCACGTCGCGAAGTTCTACAGTGTGGTGTTTTTATTTTTTAGGTTATTAGATCTGTTTTGACTGATAAAAGAGAAAAGTTTTACAATTCGAAAGGAATAGGTTGTTACATGTTCCGAATTGATGACAATTTAGTAGTTGATGCGACCATGACGGGTAACGCAGCGAGATTCATCAACCATTCGTGTGATGTAAGTTGTTCGTAAGTTGACGTTTCGTAGCTAACGCGGAAATTTTAGCCAAATTGTTATTCAAAAGTCGTCGAAATTTTGGGTCATAAGCACATTATCATTTTTGCCTTGAGAAGAATAATCTGTGGAGAAGAATTAACTTACGATTACAAGTTTCCTATTGAAGAAGATAAGATCCCGTGTACTTGCGGAACGAGGCGTTGTCGCAAATTTCTCAACTGATATTTAATTTGACTAGTTCTATTCTGGTTTAGCTATAATGATATTTTCAATTTGTCAGTATTTTTGTTTTATTGGGTGAGCGTATTGTTCAGTGCTCAAATTCTCTCATGATAAATACGAACTGGAACAAATGATGACCTCTTCTTACTTTTTTTTTTATACTTTTTATTGTGTATGTATCTGTACATTGTTTTGTAATTATTCTTGTATATATTAAGATTTTATGTGTAATTTACTTCCACGGTAGCACCTATATTTGCCATTTATAAAGTTATTACATTCTTCGAATTTTGTATCGTCAGTATTTGAAATTTATGTATATATTTGGCTGTGAGATATTATGCATTTGTGCCATTGGCTGCATAGGTGCTATATAGTTATAAATTTTGATAAAAAGTGAATATGTGATATGTTTCATAGTCCAGTGTAATTATCTAGTTATACACGTCAGAGCGAAAATTTCTTTAATTTTGAGTAATGATTACTATTGTACCACATTTTCAGTGCGAATGTGAAACTACTAATTAGAATTTCTTACGTACAAATACAGATCTTATTATTGTACATTTACTATTATTGCTAATATTTTCCTTATCACTAAGTTATTGTAGAGTTGTACGTTGCAACGAAGTGACGCCCCTGCCATCCGCATTTTTTGTCAGTACGCGTAACGAAAAATTTTCAAACTCCACTGTGAAATCTGAAGGGCTTCAGTAACTGTTCTATTATTACAGTTATATATTTTTAAATGTATATGGAAATTTGTATTTTGTATATATTTTTTTACGTTAATGTGTTTTATAGGTACCTACGGCAAAGATGACTTTCAAACTACATACAGCAAATTTCGATCTACTTAAAAACGTGTGTACAATAAAGAGCATGTTACAAATTGTGATTGTAACCTTACAAATGACAATATCAACATATCAGTCTATAAGTAGAACGACGAGTTCTACAGCGTGATAAGAGGCCTTGTAGTGTTGTATATAAACTGAATGAACAGTGTCTTAAAATTTTTATTGTATATAAAATTCAATCGTGCTCCTTCTGGTGCTTATTATACTAATTCGAGCAGCTGTGCTATACACTTGTACTATTACGAATAAAAGATTCAGAATACGCACTTTGTTTAATTAAGCGGTTTTTGCATAGTCTCGCTCGTACCGCGAGACGCGACGATTTTCGGTTGTGTGGTGTTTTTACTAAAATGAGTTTTCAATGTTAATAATTTAATTTAATCTTTAAATTAGTAACAGGGGGGATCGTAAATAATAGTTAGTACCTACTCACAAGGTATGAGTGCTCTTACATTTGAGATCATACATCGAGCCAGGAAAACACAGAATACCATAGTAAAGTATGATTAATGTAATCTCGATAATCGTGATAGTTTTCTACCACAGTTGGCTACACTAACGACTAGCTCCCTTATAGTTTACATTAATTTAATTACGCTAAATAAGCTTAAAATCATAGTTAAAAACGAAAATCACAGGGTATTAACCCCTTCTAATGCACGCCTCGATTCAGTAACCTTAAGGAAGTTGTCACGAGATCCATAAGAACTACTCTTAGTCTCTAAGTGTGTTGTATGCATATACACATTTTAATACTATTTTTGTACAAGTAAACACTTTACACTATATACAGATATTTAATACCTACTATGTATTACATATACAGATGCACCTAGACGTAATTATAAGTAAAACGCCAATTTTAAGTTGGTGATGTATCATAAATGGTCAGGCGAGACAATAGGAAGAGTTTATTTTGTAAAAAAAATACAACAAAATTTAAGTAGTTCATTAGAGTCAAATTAAATAACAATACTTTCTACAAAAATAGAAAAAAAGCAATTCGAAATAATTAAGAACCAAGTACAAACTCTGAAAACGTACATGCTACAACTTCAGTCAACAAAATCGGTATCAGCATTTACATATTTGGTACGTAAATTTGAGTCTTTGAAACCTCTGGGCTAAAGTTGCAGTGCCAAATGCAAAGTAGTAAAAAAATAATTCTAATAACTCAGCGTCCAAGTGTAGATTTACTTAGTAATTATCACATAAGGAGTGGACTTGAGGTCTGTCCGAGTACTACCAAACCTCAATCTGCCAACAAATACATAAATTACAAAACGATTCCTAAGTGTTATTGCTAGTTGCCATAGTAACAAACATTTGTTGAAAATCGGCCAATTCTTGCCCTAAAATTTCTATACCTTGAGAACCACTACGACTGCTTTCACCGGAAGAGGGCGCCGCTTCCTTGCTCCCGCCGCTACTTGCTTTTTTTTTATCGTCTGCGCTCTCCGGCCGTCGCGCTGGTGTTTGCTTACAAGGAATGACAGGTTTATTAGGGGGAATGGGGGGAGGAACGCCTCTCCCGGCCACCGCCCCCTTCTTCGGGGGCGTTTGGGGGGCGGTGGCGCCTTGATATTGAGTATGAAAGCCTGGTTTAGGTTGAGATCGGGCCGCCGGCGACTGCTGCGCTGCAGCACCGGTATTCGTCATCAACTACAAAAAGTCATTTCATCAATCCACTCGAAATTAACCTTTTACTTACCTTAGTCGTTGCGATCGGTATAGGGGGCGCTATCGTCGTCTGGCGGAGTGCTTGACCGGGAGTAACGGACTGAGCGATTCCTGTAGCTGTAATCGAGTTAGACATTTCGAATAACAAAGTTTCAAAATAGTTACTTGGCCCTGACACTGGAACACTTGATACTGTTGCTGTTGGTTGAACGACTTTCGCTACGCTACTTATCATGGGAGCTGCGCTATCACAAGTTGCACTACTTCGATTTTTTAAAAGCTCGTAGTCAGCCTTGAGTTTCTGTAATTCTGATTCGAGTTCTTGACACCTGCAATTTTTTGGTTGGAGACGTCATTAATCGCAAAAAAATGACGCCGGCCCGTCAAAGTCAGAAACTGTCAAGTTGCTATGCAATTATTGTATTTCTCAAGCGAGATCAGTTAACCCCAATAAAATTATTAAAGTCGTGTCTTGACACATTTCTGACTTGCAGACTGGGCTTCACTATGTTAAAAATGTCAAGGTCGCCTACCAACCAATACAATCTAAAAAATTAGACGGTTTGTCGTAATTGACGAACTATCAAAATGTCATTTATACTAGAAATTGGTCAAATAATAGCTACATAATCTTGATTGTATTGATTTTGACCTTAAATTTCTTGATATCAAGATCCGAGTTCATGACAGCTATAAGTCGTCACGGGTCACTTGATCGTAGAAATGTAATTTTTTAAAGAAAGCTGAAACTTGGACGTCAAGACATCTTTTTTGTTTTGATGACGTAGATTTTTAAACTATCGCTTTCTAGAAACAAAAAAGATTCATCTCATATAATTTTTTCATTGTAGTTCAAATTTACTGCAGTCTACGAATATATAAAAAATAGCAAAACGTCATTTTCTAATCCAAGTTTGAGTTCTTGATACCTGCAATTGTTAAACTATGTGGGTTAGTAAAATGATAAATAAATACAGTCTAGTGATTTTTTAACCATAATGTGTCAAAACCGTTAGGTTTTTGACACTGCTGCAGCCATTTTACCTAGCCTCCTTGACCGCAAATTGAGCTGTTAACGTTTTCTTATCGGCTTCAAAAACATGTACTTGTTTTTCAAGTTCAGCTTCCATCTGCAATGACTTTTTGCTCTCTTCTTCCAGCCCTTCAGCCATACTATCAATTCGCGACTTTTCCTCTGACAAAATCTAAAACACCAAAACCTTCAACAAAAACCAATAAAACCCACCTAAACTTACTTGCGCTAAATCTTCACTTCTCTTCCTCTCTTCAATATACTTAACTATGATTTTCTTCCTCTCAGCTAGCAGAAGAAGTACAATTTGTTTCTGCCTCGCCCTTTCTTCATCTGCCATTTCAAGCTGTTTTTTCACCTCTTTTTCTAATTTCTTCCTTGCAGATCTTTCCATTTCTAATTCTTGTCTTAATCTAGTTCTCTCCATTTCCAAGCCATAAGTAATATCATCGCCTTGCGCGGTGTCATGTTCATGTTTACATTTTTCCTCCTCCAATTCTTGGATAACTTTCCGGTGTTTGGTTTCTGCATCCTTTAAGATATTAATCATGTGTTGGTGGGCACGGCGTTGTTGAAGCGCCAGTTGTTCTAAAGCTTGCAATTGTTGTTCCGCTGCGACCGCCATTTCTTGTTCGGTAACGACGGGTTTGGCGTTGGGGCCGTCCGCGATGCTGTCTCGCAGCAGGGCGGTGTACGGATCGGCGGCTACCGCTGGTCTGTAGCGCCCCACGTTCACCACTTGCTTTAGCCTCTCCGACTGGAGGAAAAAGTGATTAGAACAATGTAGTGAGTTAAGTGTAACAATACCTTCATGGCTGCTATTGCGATGTCTCTAGCTTGGATTTCCCCTTCAAAGTAAGTAACTAGTTTGAGTAGATCAGTTTTTGAAAGCTCCATTTTGGGATTTCTCTGTTAAAAAATAAGTAAGTGGAAGATAGTGACTTATGTACAATGGGGTAAACCTTGAGTGTGTTACTGCCAACAGTAGATCTATCGAGTTGTTCGTATTGATTTGGGTCTGAGGATGCTCCTGGCTGTTGCTGCTGCTGTTGTTGTTCAGGGACACAACTTAAGGAGTTTCCGAATCCTATTCCTAAGCCACTCAACCATCCATTCTGCTGATTGTTATTAGAAGCCATGTTGACGGATTTTTTTCCTGCTTCCTAATTTTCACCAATTTTGATGCTAGAACCCTGGGGTGCCTAAATTTGTTTTTATCGATAATATTTTTATTATCGACATTATATTTACTGTTGCATAAACGTTTTGCAATAGACAAAAACACCCTTATAGGTTAAAGTGAACAATCGATTAATTTTCTCATAACCAACAGAACAACCCACTTGGGGAATTTCGATTTTACACTTTTCACAGCATTCGAAATGTGAAACTCCCTAGCCGGAAGGGACGCATCCGGACGCAACACAGCGCAACAGACTCAACAGAGTACAGAGCTTATAGAGCAAAAGCTGGGACAAAACCTCTGGAAAAGACGCGGACTAAAAATAGAGGCTCACAATTTTTTTATTTTTTTTTTTAAATACTTTTTACTTCCCGCTGCAGAAACCTCATGACGTCATTGCAAAATTTTGCTAGATAAATCCTTTCTGTAATGCACACTACTGCTTGTTCTTAGTTTTTTGGCATTCTGTCAATTATTTTTTTATTTTTTGTAGTTTTAATTTGTAACCCCTTTTTAATTTTTTTTTGGCCCTTTTTTCGGTCAACTTTTTTACGCCTTTTGTCATCTTTTTTTGATGCATTTTTTTATGTTTTTTTTGTCTAACTATATTATGACTTTTTGTGATGTTAAATTTGCCCAACAAATGTTTTATTGGATTAGTAGATTTAGCACATTCAGACATTTATTGGCGGAAATTATTGGGACATCCCAATATGAGTGACTCCATCTGGGACATATTGAGTTTTAATCAATAGATCAACCCAGTGTGATAAGAATAAACATCCATTTTTTAAATAAACCTAACGAGGTTACTCCAGTTCACGGTTGTAGAATAGATAGGTTGATACACTAGCATACATTTGCATATCCCTGGTCAGCGACGCCAATTGCCGATCGCGTCGCCTGGTTTTTGACGTTTTAGGGACCCAGAACTCTATAGGCATCTGTCTATAACCGATGTAATTAATAAAAGAAATCGTATTTATCGACTCCGATCAAATGTCATTTACAAATTTTGTATTGTTCATAAAGAAATGTCAATGAAAATCCCCAAAATAACTAGAACGATTTCCGCTCGACAAGGTAGAGGCGCTAGCTGTATGTGTCCTTTCCATGGATATAGGGATCGAAAAGAAGCGTCGCCATTCCAAGCCATTAGTGTACAAACCTATCTATTCTACAACCGTGCTCCAGTTTGAACCAGTCTCATAAAAGTCAGCAATTAAGAACTCATCCCTTGTTTATATCTTTATTTCCACAAAATAAATTTGAACCCTACATCTAAATGTAGGGTTCAAATTTAGATTCTAAAATCTAATTAGTTTGAACTTGTACGATTATTGCAAAGTCGGTAAAATACAAACTTTGAACCGTGTTTATTTCGCCCCTCCCTAAACAGTGATGTATAAATCGCACTCGAAATGTGGAACATGACCTGCTTTTTTACATTTGGTAATAGTAAAAAGCAATAACTGAAGGAAATATGATAATATAGTAAGTTTGATGAATGTTTAATTTTACGGAGTTTCACAGATTGTAAAATACAAAAATGTCGGTTTCTCATTTCCGTCTGCATTTATTATTTGAAAAATTTACGCAAACTTTTATAAGAATATCGTGTAGTGTAGATGTTGCACCGAGTCAAAACATTGTTAATAATAAAAATATAAATTGACGGTAAAATACGCTTTGAAAGAACAACAGACAAACATTTTATTCAAATTTTTTCGTAATTAAAAAAATAACAAAATCCGGGAAGCACGTTCTGAGAGTCATCATCATCAGGTATTTAACATACTTGAGAGAGTAAGAAAGTTACGTGCACATAACGCAGACTTGCGTCGATTTTTTTAAACATTGTGAAACGATTTCAGTTTCTACTAAATTGTTTGCGTTATTTCGCTCAATAATTCGATAACATTAAGTTGTTTATTTGTATATTTACATTATTTATTTGCAAGTTTAAAGTAAAATTAGAATGTTGGAAATTTGCGACATAAACACGTGATTCTCGGAACGAGTGACGTCAGGACGTTTACGCGTTACGTTCTGTTACGTCTGCGTCAGGTCCACTGACAGATTGGGGATCTGGTGCGATACGGTTCTATCTTGCGTGTAGTGGTAGTGCAGCCTTGTGGTTCCGATGTGTGGGTTGTCCGAAGTGGTTTTATGCTTCTAAATGGAATTTCCTTTGTGGCATGCATTGAATAAAAAGTAAATAATGTGTTTATAACACGATTTACTTAATCGATCCACGTGAGTCGTTTTCCAAATTTTTATTTAATGCCAATGGTGCAATTCGCTTAAAAATTACATAACCTTCAAATTGATTTTTTCCGAAAATGAAAAAACGAGAAGCTGAAGCCGCAATGTTTTCGATTTCCAGTGAAAGTTCAAGATGTTGACGTTTTCATCATTGAGGCATCCGAACCTGGCACGTTACAGTTAAAATCATCCACTATGAAGAATCCCACCACATCCAAAACCACCATTTCACTCCTCAGTCACATCAAATACGAACACCTTATAGCTGGAATCTCAGGGGGGGCTATTTCCACACTCATATTGCATCCTTTAGATTTAATGAAAATTAGGTTCGCAGGTAAGTAATGTCACAGTAAAACTTCCGGTAGGTGAAGAGCTTTTTTTAAAGTAAGCGACGGCAGAACGACAATTCCGCAATATAGCAGCTTAACGAGCGCGTTTTATACGATTGTTAAACAAGAAGGGGTCAGAGGGCTGTACAGAGGAGTCGCCCCTAACGTCTGGGGCTCTGGAAGTGCCTGGGGGTGTTATTTTTTGTTGTAAGTTCGAAACGTGGGCATCTTTTACTTCACGGGCCGCTGATTCAACACGCACAGTAGTTTCTTGTGCAAACCTACCTGTAACAAATCCGAGACTCGCCGATCCACGGAAAGGGTTTTCCGCGTTTTAGTAGCAAACCTGCGTGCATTTGCACAAAGAAATTTTGTTTGCGTGCCCGTAAAGCAAAAATTCGCCAAAACTTGTACAATTATTATTAAATGCCAAGGATAACCATTCCTGAACGTAATCGTATTTTCCGCCTTCCAAGGAAAATATTTGGTGTTCGCGTATATGTGATTCGAATTCTACGTTTCCGTATAAAATTTTCCTATGCTTTGTCTGGAGACACGTCTTTATCAGAAAGTCGGTTGTTAGTACCGGTTATCGTTTGGCATTGTAAGCCCGTTTATTTATGGCATCTGAACGTTTTCGATTGATTTATTTGCAGTTACAATTCTATAAAAAATTGGATTCAGGCTGGCGACAGTCAGTATCCTTTAGGACCAAGTTTGCATATGTTGGCAGCGGCCGAAGCTGGTGTATTGACGCTGTTCGTTACCAATCCAATTTGGGTGGTGAAAACTAGGCTGTGTTTGCAATATGGACCAGAAACTCCATTATCTACAAGAGAATGTTATAAAGGAATGACAGATGCTTTAGTTAAAATATATAGAACAGAAGGTGTTCGGGGTTTATATAGGGTCAGTTAATCAAGAAACCAAATCAGTTCCAATGAACTGTGTTAGGGAATTGGGATTTCCTTATATAATATTTGCAGGGTTTCATTCCGGGGATGTTTGGTGTTACTCATGGAGCTCTCCAATTCATGACTTACGAAGAAATGAAAACTTTTTATAATCGTTATAGAGGAATTCCATTTGACAATAAATTAGTAAGTTTATTTAAAAAAAAAGAAAAAAATGACGTCGTTATTATTATAATATTTTTTTTTTGCAATAGACTACAGGTGAATACTTGACTTTTGCCGCAATTTCGAAGTTGATTGCGGCTGCTGCTACCTATCCATATCAAGTAATAAGAGCGCGGTTGCAAGATCAGCACCACTGCTATAATGGAACATGGGACTGTATTAAAAAAACTTGGAAGTATGAGCACATGAGAGGCTTTTACAAAGGCTTAGCACCTTACTTACTTCACGTCACTCCGAATATATGTCTAGTCATGCTTATTTATGAAAAATTTACTAACAATTAACTTAATTCAATGAAATAAAGGAAAGTTAAGACTTAATTTCTTTAGGTGATGATATATACTAACTTGAAAGATTTTAACTGTTTAGAAATCTAGCATATTCAGAAAATGTTAAATAAAATTCATAATCACTCTCTGAACTCGACTTGCTTGTCAAAAGTTAACGATATGCATTTTGTATTTTGTTAGAAAATTTGTATTCATAGACATTTATCACCTCTGATGTAATAATTAAATTAAATTATTAAAGATGTAAGTATAAGATCTAAGTATTAATAGTTTAATGGAACTTTCCTGTTAAGTTTAGTTCTGTTTTTAGTGAGTTATTTACATATCATTATACATTTTAAGGGTGATGTATAAATGAGTGAGAGAATTACGTTGTATGCAACATGAAGCAGGGTTAATAAAATTATTTTTCTATTATGATGCTAGGTGAACCTAAAGTATTGTTGTCCTTGTCATTACAATAATAAATGTGATGTTTGAAAATATTTTGTCTTATTTGACCCTAAAAGTGGAAAAGTTACGAAATTATATTTACAACATGTGAAATTTGCAATTTCTGAGATAAAAAATTACGGATTGTGAAATTGTGTTGCAAGGGGACTTCGACATTCCTCATTTAACTGCCCCGGGCAAAGTTCACTCATCTTCAAAGTTATTGTTCCTGCATAAAGATAAGCGTATCATTATTACTGATTGATTGATGGATTTTACAAGTAAAACATCCATGTTCTCGTTTAATATCAACTATACCTAATGTTTAGTTAATTAATAATCAAACCGGATGTAAATACGATGAAACCGTCAGCAGGAATTTCAAATATTTGATGAATTATTAGATTAGCTCGGATTTTTTGGGTGAAAACAAACAAAACAATTATACTCTTAACGAAATACACCATTTAAATGTACTTAAGTAACACCATTACGTACACCGGGTGTCTCAGAAACAGGGCTTTCGTGTACACTACACTACACTAGTTAATTTGGTTATTACATGAATTAGCTATGAATCTTGAGAAAAATCTTAATTCATACATCATAAACGAGGATTTGGTTCCGTAATTTAACCCGATTTTGTGTTCGCTCATACCCGGATTATGTTCACGTACTGACATAATCAAATATGTAGTAACTAAAGGATTACTTGCTCAAGATTTCCGTAAACCATATTCCTAGCACCCGTACGACGGAAATGAAACAGTGTAGTTTGCTTTGTGGTTGGTAGGCTACTAAATATATCATACTTGTATATGTACAATACACAATATGTTTAGTTCGAAATTAAAATGTTTAACAAAAGGATAAATTTGTACACAATAGAGGAGAAAAAAAGAAATAACCCAATGCTTAGAGCGTGTGTTTTGAAGTTTCCGTGGTTGCACGATAGAGTGCGTGCACAGCTGAAACTGAGCTGCAGTCGGACTGCAATTGTTACGTTTTTGTAGCTGCAGACGAAATTCGTTTTCCTATTTATGTTTCATGTTGGTCTATTATTCTGAGTTCTTGTGGTGATGGGATTAGTGTATGTTAATTAATATGTTATACTAACACCAACTTACACACAAATCGGCTCTGAAGTATTCGCGTTGATTGGGTTGTAATACACGGGGAATGTAGTTACATCGTTATAGTGTCACAATAGAGTGAGGTATTAATGATTATCAAAAATCGAAATTTTTATCGACTTTTGTATGTTTGTGGGAGCTGGCAAGTCCCACAAAATTGTATAGCATTAGTATATTTGTATATAATCTGTATTTAATTACTTCCAACCAGTATCACCCCGAAACTTTCTCTTCGTCCACCTGCATGTCGTAAAACCTATCTTTTGTTCACCCTTCTCAGTAATACTTATCCTTTCCCAGATTTAAAATACCTTCCAAGAACCCTTTAGACACAACCGTTTTCACCGCTTTCTATAGACCTTTCTTTTCATTTCAATTTTACAAACTCCAGGACTCTTCCTTCATCTGTCGTACCGACAACATCAAAATAAATATGTCAAAACGCAAGTACTGTTTCAATCACCTGTTCTTAAGTTAAAAAGCAGTTGCTTGAGTTATTTATAGGAACAGCTTTCAAAAGCTAACCAAACGCAGAAATGATTTTTAAAAACCAATTCTATGCAAGTCTGATGCCACCTTGGATTTCTCGAAATCTCAGACGCATTGTTGCCAACACAAAATCAAGCCCCAGTGCCTCACGTTAGCTTTCAACGATACCTCAGCACCTCAGCCTTCTTTCGCTTTGTCAGAATGTTGTCACATTGCACTACTGGTTTGTTTGCAAACAGATATTAGACACAAACAAAGGACGCCGCACACTCATCGGACATTCGCAGTATTTGACGAGAAAATGTTTTGTGTTTTGTTGAGCAGCAACGAGAATTCGAGAGGGTTTATACAAAACATCCACGAGTTTAACAACGTTCATTAGGCTTCAGGCGCGAACTCAATTTTTCGCCGTTGCAATGGCAGCTTGTTTGCGAACACTCGACGACGAACAAAGGGCGTCGAACGGGTGGTCGTTTTAGTTCCAGCCACTTTGGAAATTACAATTAAGAACTAGAACTTACGGAATTATGTTTAACAAAACTTGATTTAAGCGTCACAACAGAAAATTACGAATTGCTTTTAGTTTTTTATTTGTGAAAAATAAATTAAAATTATTACGGAGTAGTGCGCATGCTCAAGAATTTTTTTCTAATTGGTGAAGTTAGCACTCACGCGTGCTGGCAAGAATTTTTTAAATGCAAGTAGGCATATTGTCAAACTTATAGTCATAATTCCCGAAGCGTTACCTGTAAAATATTGAAGGCGAGCGAAGCTCGCGACTTGTTTAAATAAGCTAATGTCGCCGCGAGTGCGGTCGGTTGTGTTAATTGAACCCAAATTTGATGGGTTCCAATTAACAAGCAAAATAATTGTTTAAGTGATGTGGTTTGTGGGGTTTGATCGTTTATTTTTCTTTGAAATTCGATATCAAAGGTGATCGTTAGTTGTGTAAGAGCGCGATTAATACAAAGGCGGTATTGTTAGGAGGCGTAGTCGAGTTCAAGTGAAGAATTGCGGATCTGAGTTATAATTTTAATTTTGGCGAGCTCCGATGAATTATTTAGGTAATTGTGCCGGCAAGTTTCGCTTGTCGGGTTCTCGACGAATCAACGTGCAAAGTAGAAGGAAACTTAGGTGCGAATAAGCAGAGCGGAATTACGCAATTCGACCGTATTTGAGCCGAGATAAATAATAAAATGGAAATGCCACAGCTGTAATAAAATGCTTTCACATTATAAATTAGAGTTAAATGAAATTGTAGTAAACTGCGATTTGAAACGGAGGCAGAGTTCGGAAAAGCGGAGACTGTGCAGTGTGAAGGATGCGCGCCCTGTGAGGATTTTAACATTAGTAATGTTAGTATCGGCGGTGACCGGTGCGGAAAATCAGTGCCAAAACGTTATGTTCATAGCGTCCGTTCTTCGAGTTTCCACGTTTTCCCACATCTCGTGACTTATTTACAACTTTGAGGATTATGCCGAATATAATCAAGAATTTTTCCTCTTCCGTAATCGCCGCTACCTTACAATACTCATGAAAACTTAAAAGGTGAATAGTACAGTAGTTCCCTCAGCCGGCAATCTCATCTTTGTGTTTACCTCACCAGATACGCCTTTAACAATTTGCTGCCTCTTCTATATGAATTTTAAAACTTGACGCTACTACTCACAAACACCGAACAAACTTTCTTATTCAATTCTTTCGATCCTCTATTTTGTCACTCCCCTGTTTCAAACTTTTAACTGCGCTAACTAATTCTTCACTTTTCCCTTGCATGATGAAGTAGAAGTCAGTTCTTCTGTTTGAAAAGCAAACTGATCAAGAGTGTTTATGTCGGGTTAAGGACATTCACTCTTGCGTATAGTATTTCTGTACGTTTCGCACGTGGTCTACTCCACTCGACGTTTTCATTAAGACTTTCTCACTAAGAAAAACTCACCTACACAACCCACAACATTATTTGCGGAAAACGGATCAAACTGATTTACGGATCTCATTCCCCTTGCAGATGTGTGGGCTCTCAAGATTCAACATTTATTCACAGCTGATCTGCATCCCAGATACTCACTTAGTAATTCCGTGATTAACGCGTTCGTTATTAGTTGAAACTATAAGCACGATCCTTATCCAGAACATGAATAAATAATTTGCCCCGAATAAATTATACTCGAGTGTGAATTTTGGGGTCAAGCTTGATCGTTGACACTCTTGACAGCACCTTTCTAAGAAGGTTCATTTTATATGCGAGATCTAAACAGTATCCTCTATTTGCATAATGATTTTCGACCTGAATAATTAGCGCGAAATATGGAAAAAGCAGACCAGGCATAAATGTTTCTAAGAAGAGAACTCAATTAAAACAGTGCTCGCTTTCTGGACAGAGCGAATAAAATCAAACGACTTACTTTACAATGGATCACGATCATAAAACGGTACAATGAAGGAGATCGTTTTGAACAGAAGCAAATAAACCAATATCAGCTTGACCCTCATTTTCCGACAAAACCGTCTGAATTTCGCATAAAGCTGATACCCGTTCCTCTAAAAATTCACTCCGAGTCTTGCAAAGATGGATACCGACTTTAAGAATGTAAATACGTAGGTCTATAAAAAATTCGATAACTACAAGACGGCAGTTTCGTTATTAAAAGTCCAAACTCGGAGACTTGGCAGCAGGTGCTATTCATTTTCTAAGGCCGTAAACTGCGGCTTTGTACTTGATATTAAATTAAGATTTGTTAAGTTAATTCCGTAATTTTAGCCAACTCCAATAAAACTTACGTCCGTACCGAGGAAAAAATGTTACCGAGATAAACAGGATTACTATCCCAAATACGTGACCCTCGACACTTCCGTTACTTCAACTAAAAATATACATACTCAGATGAGGAAATATCTCGTCAACTTTATCTTAACAACATTATGAAAATTTATTTCCAACATCACGCCAAGTGATATAACTTTGGAGTGAATGTGATTCTTGTAGCATTTTATGTTGTGGGGAGTCATAATAGCGATTCCCCGGAGAGTCGAAAAATCCCGCCATAACTTTCTAATTTATGGCCGCGCGGACAAAATAACGATATTTTCAATCTCGGCCTACTTCGAGATAAACGCACCACATCAAACCACCGACACTCAATACGCTTGTCAAAAACTTGACACATGTGTCATACATCATTCGAACGCCTTTACTTGTCACAACCACGCGCTGCCTTTTTTCCGTAGTGCTAGCTAAAAATACTTCGATCGAGTTTCAATGTGGAGTTAACACTTACGTGATTCTATGAGTAACTGTTAAAATCAAAACTGTCACGTTAAAAATAATCCGATCGAATCAAAATGGTGCGCGGACGCTGCTAGATGTGAAACAATATGGGCTTTTTATTTACCAACAAATGTCAGACAGTCGCAGGTGCGTGGCTCAAA